AGTCGGACGTTGAGGTTCACAAGTACCACGTCCGACAAGTTCTTACAATCATGCGAAAGCATCAATTGTATGCAAACCTCAAGAAGTGTATATTTGCAGCAAGCGAAATACCACTTCTTGGGTGCATCGTTGTTAAGAACGGTGTACGTCCTGATCCCGAAAAGATCAAGGCGATCACCGACTGGCCCGTGCCGGTCGATGTCAAAGGTCTTCGAAAATTCCTTGGGCTAGCGGCGTATTTGCATAAGTATTCACGCAATTACGCCGAGATGACTGTACACCTCTCTCGTTTGTTGAAAAAGAACGAGAGGTGGTTATGGAACGCTGAATGTCAACGCTCCTTTGAGGGTATCAAGCAGAGCTTGATACAATCCCCAGTCCTAGCAATAGCCGATCAGGACAGGCCATTTCATGTGGTCTGTGATGCCAGCGATTTCGCAATCGGCTGTGCATTAATGCAGTACGACCTTGAAGGCGTTGAACGCGTCGTCTGCTATCAGTCGCGTCAGCTGCAACCAGCTGAGCGGAACTATCCAGTGCATGACAAGGAACTCCTTGCCATGAAGTATGCACTCGCGAAGTTCAGAGTCTATCTATTAGGAGATAGACCCTTCGTTGTTTACACTGACCATGCGTCATTACGCACGGCAGTGAACAGCCCGCACCTTTCACAACGAATGGCGCGGTGGTTGTCATTCTTTGCAGAATACAACTTTACGGTCGAGTACAAACCAGGACGACTTAATGTCGTCGCTGATGCACTCTCACGTCGTCCCGACTTTGAAACAGTCGCGAAACCCAACAGTGAGACAGTCACCGTTGCGGTTATGACGTCCTCAGTCCCATCTACAACGTTGTATGATGATGTGAGGCGGGCATACGCCCAAGATGGTGAGATAGTGAAGTTGTTGTCACATCTCTCCCAACCATCTCGAGAATCGTTGAAACGATTGTCGTCTGCGTATCGATCTGCATCAGATCGATACACTACTCGTAACGGTTTACTGTACTATACAGCCGTTTCTGGTGACACACCACGTGTTGTCATTCCAGATGATACTGATCTGCGTTTGCGGATCATGTTCGAGTATCACGATGCTCCTATAGGAGGACATCGTGGCCGAGAGAAAACATATCTCACGGTAAGTCGAGACTTTTACTGGCCCCGCCAGTATCAGTTTGTGCGAAAGTATGTTCGCGCATGCGAAGTCTGCCAACGAGTGAAGTCAAGTCCTTCACTGCGTGCACCTTTACAGCCTCTATCGGTTCCGGCTGAGTGCTGGGAATCCATCTCAATGGATTTCGTCTTCGGGTTACCCAAAGACGCACGCGGGAATACGGGTATTCTCGTATTTGTTGACAGATTCAGCAAAATGATACACCTTGTGGCTGTACCAGAGACAATCACGGCAAGTGGCTGTGCTTGTGTCTTTATTGACACCATCTTCCGACTTCATGGGTTGCCCCGTGAACTCGTATCAGACAGAGATCCACGATTCACTGCTGATTTCTGGCGTTCCGTGTTCAAATCACTCGGAACGCGCTTGAAGATGTCAACATCTGATCATCCAGAGTCAGATGGTCAGACGGAACGTGCCAATCGTGTCCTTGAAGAGATACTTCGAGGATACGTCCACTCCTTTAAGAGTTGGAGTGAGTTTTTGCCGATGGTAGAGTTTGCCATCAACAACTCGGTGCATGCGTCCACGACACATACACCGTTTTACGTGAATGGCTTGCGCCATCCGCGTGTACCCACCTTACTAGAGTGTAACTCTGGTTTAAGGGGGGAGGGACTCGCGCGAGCAAAAACTGATTTGGTTCACGCTCATCACGCTCTGACGAAGAAGTCATTGCGTTTGATGCCGATATCGATAACATCGATATCGAAGAAGATGATGCCAGTGAGAGTGCGGAAGCCCTCACTGAAGACAATGATCCCAGTGAGAGTGCGGAAGCCCTCACTGAAGAAAAGGTTGTTGTCGCTGCAGTGCGCTCACAGCACACTGAAGCTAACGAGTCATCAGATGAGTTCATACTGGCTCGTGAAACGGTAGTCCGTTTTGTGCAAGACTCCATCGCCGAAGCGGTGGATAAGCAAAAGCAAAACGCTGACAAGAATGGAAGGGCAAACACTCTTTTATTTAATAAAGGTGACTTAGTCCTACTGTCTACGGTTAATCTACCAAAACATGTAGTGACTAACTTGGGTAGCAGTAAACTACTACCCAAGTACATTGGCCCATTTCGTGTATTGCACCACCTAGGCAATGCATACACGATCGAGTTACCACGTAAGATGCGAACGCATCCCACGTTTTACGTTGGTCGGCTTAAGCCGTACCATCAGTACGCTGCTTCTTCCGATGAAGAACGCCCTTGCGCTCAAGCATCTCGCAGAGAGCCTTGTGCTCCCGACGGTGGGCATCAACAAGGGTCTGAAGAGCAGTTATCTCAGCCCGAGACCGATCAACAATCCCACGAGCTACCCTTAGCTCGTCACGAAGAGATGTCAGAGATCTCTCGTTCTCGAGCTGAGCAAAGGCAAACTCAGCTCGATGCTTCGAGGCAGTGTCCGCCATTTGGAGACGCCTATTCCGCTCATGTTCGAGATCGTCGCGTAACCCTTGCGTTACGCGATCAAAGAAGCTCTCGGGAACACACCGATCCACATGATCGTGTGGAGAGCGTCTTTCCTCCTCCTCCACCTCCATTAGAGGACTCTCGCGGTGGCCAGCGCTATCTAGTTGAGCAGCTGTTGAACCACCGCGACGTGAACGGACGTCGGACGAGTTATCTCGTCCGGTGGCGCGGCTATCCCCCGTCCTGGGATTCTTGGGAGCCCCGCTCCCAATTGATGGTTGACGTACTGGGTCTGGTCGAGCAGTACGACGCGACACATCCTGTGCCGCAGAAGGACCGCCGGAGAAAGTCTTCCCGGCACGGTCGTAAAGGGATTTCAGGTTGTCAATCCCTTCGTACATCTCAGTAGAGACACGTACGCGCCACCACGGGCTGGTAAGGAGGTAAGCCTCCTTAGGTGCTCGTGCAGAGTTGTTCACACAACATGGGCACGAGTCTCCCCAAGAGAGGCAGGGTAATCCTTTCTCCCTTGACAGACGATGCAGCTTATAGCGTGCACCTGTCGGGGTTCGCTTTTCAAACTTATCACGAGCTTTGATAAGTTTGTCGTTCCAAGCGTCACGACCTACATCCTCGAGATTATGGATGTAGGCGTTCCACGCCTGAAGTAGTGAGGGACCATCACGTTTGTGATTCCCACTGTACCATCGATGTCTGAAGAAAGCATCGATGAAGAACTCATGTTCAGCGCGATAGTCTTTCGCGCTGGGGTCAAGGTGATGAATCCTCGACGAATCGAACAATCGTGTTCGATAACGATCACTCGTCGTCGCCGACAAGTGATCCATGACAGATTTAGGAGGCATCCATGCCTTCTTTTCTGGAGCGAGACGCAACACATTGCGGTCCCGCTCTTCCTGCGACGTGCCGACAGAAGTACTGGCACCTCGCTGTGAAGTGGTGTCCATTGGAGAAACGACACCACTATTAGCGCCCGAGTCTCGCGACCTCGAGCGCCTTCGCTTCGGCGATGGTTCATCTGACTCATCAGATGAACCAAAGATGCTGCGACGCAAAGCATCGTCCATGCCACGCTTGGCAGGCGGCTTGGATTCAATTGCCGTCGATACGGATCCGTCATCCGTATCAGGAGAGTACGAGACACCGAGCTCGTACTCTGTGAAGACACGAGTGTCTTCATGACCAGCGCCTGCATCACCAGGTGATACAGGCTGAGTCGATTCAGCAACCGATGGGACATCAGTTGCTGTAGTTTCTGCTTCGGCGTCCGCACAGAGACGTGCAGACGCGCTCTCGGCGGCCTTGCTCGCGCATCGCATGGGCTTGTTTACCATGCGATGAGATGTTGGAAAGTGGACGCGGACCAACAAGTGCAAACCCCGTCCCAAATGATTTGGGACGAGTATCCATTTAGTCAATCAGTCACTAAAGTGACTGATGGTTAAGGGGGGGTGATGTAACGGGGTGAATCGTTACATAACAATTTATAAGAAATTGTTAATAGAATATAACTATAAGAGTTATATTCTCAGAATATTGTCATAAGGACAATATTCTGTAGCACTTCCAAGTAGTTCCTAATTGGTTGATATAGGCCATTATATCAACCAACGAAGACGCGCCACGATAGACGCACGCAATGAGTGGTGAGCAGATAGTTGATTTACACATTTGTATTTAGACATAGTTAGATGAAGATAAATAGTGATTTATTGCAGACATTAACTATTATAAATACAGTTCTACTTTTTACTCTAACCGAGTACTCGCTTCTTCTTACCGTCTTCCTCTGCACGTACGAGTGTACGTGAAGTTACGAGGCACCGCCTTATTCTGTTATCAGAATAAGTAGCTTGTACTGTCACCAGTACAAGCTTCAGGGTGCCCCGTTACACAGTACGTATGGACGCTTGCTGATGGAGAAGTCACGACTCTTCTAAAGACCGCCGAATTTTGCTCGCTCCACAAGTGTTCTTGGCAGATGGAGATTAAGAAGAACAGGTCCCTTCAAATTCTGTTGTGGCGGTGTCGGAGTCATCTTGAAAACGGTTTTGCAACCTTAGACTTAACTGACGTGGAAGTGGCGGGGCTTGGCGATTGGCGCAGTGGATGATGAAGGTGGAAACGACCACATTCGTCGCACACTCTCCGTTCCAGTGTTCTATTAATTGACACCAACACGCTTGTGCGGTAGGGCAGCTCCAGAAAATATGCGCCGCAGTCTCTTTGCACCCCAGGTATTGCAGTACCTTATGGAAACTGTTGTCCAGCGTGCGGCCGGAATGGCATAAATTCAGCTGCTTGATTGCAATACTATAGCATGTGTATACTTGATACTCCGTTAGCCCGTTTGCGTGTTTCCAAACATGGTAAGGCTTTTGATTTGATGCAGCCGACTACCAAGTATTCTTGATCGTCTGCTCGTCGTAGGCCTTCAACCAGGACTGGAGGGCTGGGCGCAGAAGGCGTTTATGAACGTGAAACGCTTGCCGCAAAATCGCTCTCCACACATCGACATTGGCCACCGTCTCCGGCATGCTCCAAGGTAACCGATGGAGCTCCGGGTAGTCGAGAAATACTAAAGCACGATGTTGCGTGTGCCCCCAGCAGTGAGAAACTTGCTCAGGCGATCTCCTTAGCTCAGGTAAATCACCTTCAATTGACCAGTGGATCCCATTTGTAACGGGGCACCCTGAAGCTTGTACTGGTGACAGTACAAGCTACTTATTCTGATAACAGAATAAGGCGGTGCCTCGTAACTTCACGTACACTCGTACGTGCAGAGGAAGACGGTAAGAAGAAGCGAGTACTCGGTTAGAGTAAGAAGTAGAACTGTATTTATAATAGTTAATGTCTGCAATAAATCACTATTTATCTTCATCTAACTATGTCTAAATACAAATGTGTAAATCAGTTATCTGCTCACCACTCATTGCGTGCGTCTGTCGTGGCGCGTCTTCGTTGGTTGATATAATGGCCTATATCAACCAATTAGGAACTACTTGGAAGTGCTACAGAATATTGTCCTTATGACAATATTCTGAGAATATAACTCTTATAGTTATATTCTATTAACAATTTCTTATAAATTGTTATGTAACGATTCACCCCGTTACATCACCCCCCTTAACCATCAGTCACTTTAGTGACTGATTGACTAAATGGATACTCGTCCCAAATCATTTGGGACGGGGTTTGCACTTGTTGGTCCGCGTCCACTTTCCAACATCTCATCGCATGGTAAACAAGCCCATGCGATGCGCGAGCAAGGCCGCCGAGAGCGCGTCTGCACGTCTCTGTGCGGACGCCGAAGCAGAAACTACAGCAACTGATATCCCATCGGTTGCTGAATCGACTCAGCCTGTATCACCTGGTGATGCAGGCGCTGGTCATGAAGACACTCGTGTCTTCACAGAGTACGAGCTCGGTGTCTCGTACTCTCCTGATACGGATGACGGATCCGTATCGACGGCAATTGAATCCAAGCCGCCTGCCAAGCGTGGCATGGACGATGCTTTGCGTCGCAGCATCTTTGGTTCATCTGATGAGTCAGATGAACCATCGCCGAAGCGAAGGCGCTCGAGGTCGCGAGACTCGGGCGCCAATAGTGGTGTCGTTTCTCCAATGGACACCACTTCACAGCGAGGTGCCAGTACTTCTGTCGGCACGTCGCAGGAAGAGCGGGACCGCAATGTGTTGCGTCTCGCTCCAGAAAAGAAGGCATGGATGCCTCCTAAATCTGTCATGGATCACTTGTCGGCGACGACGAGTGATCGTTATCGAACACGATTGTTCGATTCGTCAAGGATCCATCACCTTGACCCCAGCGCGAAAGACTATCGCGCTGAACATGAGTTCTTCATCGATGCTTTCTTCAGACATCGATGGTACAGTGGGAATCACAAACGTGATGGTCCCTCACTACTTCAGGCGTGGAACGCCTACATCCATAACCTCGAGGATGTAGGTCGTGACGCTTGGGAACGACAAACTTATCAAAGCTCGTGATAAGTTTGAAAAGCGAACCCCGACAGGTGCACGCTACAAGCTGCATCGTCTGTCAAGGGAGAAAGGATTACCCTGCCTCTCTTGGGGAGACTCGTGCCCATGTTGTGTGAACAACTCTGCACGAGCACCTAAGGAGGCTTACCTCCTTACCAGCCCGTGGTGGCGCGTACGTGTCTCTACTGAGATGTACGAAGGGATTGACAACCTGAAATCCCTTTACGACCGTGCCGGGAAGACTTTCTCCGGCGGTCCTTCTGCGGCACAGGATGTGCCGCGTCGTACTGCTCGACCAGACCCAGTACGTCAACCATCAATTGGGAGCGGGGCTCCCAAGAATCCCAGGACGGGGGATAGTTGCGCCACCGGACGAGGTAACTCGTCCGACGTCCAGTTCACGTCGCGGTGGTTCAACAGCTGCTCAACTAGATAGCGCTGGCCACCGCGAGAGTCCTCTAATGGAGGTGGAGGAGGAGGAAAGACGCTCTCCACACGATCATGTGGATCGGTGTGTTCCCGAGAGCTTCTTTGATCGCGTAACGCAAGGGTTACGCGACGATCTCGAGCATGAGCGGAATAGGCGTCTCCAGATGGTGGACACTGCCTCGAAGCATCGAGCTGAGTTTTTGCCTTTGCTCAGCTTGAGAACGAGAGAGCTCTGACATCTCTTCGTGACGAGCTAAGGGTAGCTCGTGGGATTGTTGATCGGTCTCGGGCTGAGATAACTGCTCTTCAGACCCTTGTTGATGCCCACCATCGGGAGCACAAGGCTCTCTGCGAGATGCTTGAGCGCAAGGGCGTTCTTCATCGGAAGAAGCAGCGTACTGATGGTACGGCTTAAGCCGACCAACGTAAAACGTGGGGATGCGTTCGCATCTTACGTGGTAACTCGATCGTGTATGCATTGCCTAGGCGGTGCAATACACGAAATGGGCCAATGTACTTGGGTAGTAGTTTACTGCTACCCAAGTTAGTCACTACATGTTTTGGTAGATTAACCGTAGACAGTAGGACTAAGTCACCTTTATTAAATAAAAGAGTGTTTGCCCTTCCATTCTTGTCAGCGTTTTGCTTTTGCTTATCCACCGCTTCGGCGATGGAGTCTTGCACAAAACGGACTACCGTTTCACGAGCCAGTATGAACTCATCTGATGACTCGTTAGCTTCAGTGTGCTGTGAGCGCACTGCAGCGACAACAACCTTTTCTTCAGTGAGGGCTTCCGCACTCTCACTGGGATCATTGTCTTCAGTGAGGGCTTCCGCACTCTCACTGGCATCATCTTCTTCGATATCGATGTTATCGATATCGGCATCAAACGCAATGACTTCTTCGTCAGAGCGTGATGAGCGTGAACCAAATCGGTTTTTGCTCGCGCGAGTCCCTCCCCCTTAAACCAGAGTTACACTCTAGTAAGGTGGGTACACGCGGATGGCGCAAGCCATTCACGTAAAACGGTGTATGTGTCGTGGACGCATGCACCGAGTTGTTGATGGCAAACTCTACCATTGGCAAAAACTCACTCCAACTTTTAAAGGAGTGTACGTATCCTCGAAGTATCTCTTCGAGGACACGGTTGGCACGTTCCGTCTGACCATCTGACTCTGGATGATCAGATGTTGACATCTTCAAGCGCGTTCCGAGTGATTTGAACACGGAACGCCAGAAATCAGCAGTGAATCGTGGATCTCTGTCTGATACGAGTTCACGGGGCAACCCATGAAGTCGGAAGATGGTGTCAATAAAGACACAAGCACAGCCACTTGCCGTGATTGTCTCTGGTACAGCCACAAGGTGTACCATTTTGCTGAATCTGTCAACAAATACGAGAATACCCCGTATTCCCGCGTGCGTCTTTGGGTAACCCGAAGACGAAATCCATTGAGATGGATTCCCAGCACTCAGCCGGAACCGGTAGAGGCTGTAAAGGTGCACGCAGTGAAGGACTTGACTTCACTCGTTGGCAGACTTCGCATGCGCGAACATACTTTCGCACAAACTGATACTGGCGGGGCCAGTAAAAGTCTCGACTTACCGTGAGATATGTTTTCTCTCGGCCACGATGTCCTCCTATAGGAGCATCGTGATACTCGAACATGATCCGCAAACGCAGATCAGTATCATCTGGAATGACAACACGTGGTGTGTCACCAGAAACGGCTGTATAGTACAGTAAACCGTTACGAGTAGTGTATCGATCTGATGCAGATCGATACGCAGACGACAATCGTTTCAACGATTCTCGAGATGGTTGGGAGAGATGTGACAACAACTTCACTATCTCACCATCTTGGGCGTATGCCCGCCTCACATCATCATACAACGTTGTAGATGGAACTGAGGACGTCATAACCGCAACAGTGACTGTCTCACTGTTTTGGGTTTCGCGACTGTTTCAAAGTCGGGACGACGTGAGAGTGCATCAGCGACGACATTAAGTCGTCCTGGTTTGTACTCGACCGTAAAGTTGTATTCTGCAAAGAATGACAACCACCGCGCCATTCGTTGTGAAAGGTGCGGGCTGTTCACTGCCGTGCGTAAGGACGCATGGTCAGTGTAAACAACGAAGGGTCTATCTCCTAATAGATAGACTCTGAACTTCGCGAGTGCATACTTCATGGCAAGGAGTTCCTTGTCATGCACTGGATAGTTCCGCTCAGCTGGTTGCAGCTGACGCGACTGATAGCAGACGACGCGTTCAACGCCTTCAAGGTCGTACTGCATTAATGCACAGCCGATTGCGAAATCGCTGGCATCACAGACCACATGAAATGGCCTGTCCTGATCGGCTATTGCTAGGACTGGGGATTGTATCAAGCTCTGCTTGATACCCTCAAAGGAGCGTTGACATTCAGCGTTCCATAACCACCTCTCGTTCTTTTCAACAAACGAGAGAGGTGTACAGTCATCTCGGCGTAATTGCGTGAATACTTATGCAAATACGCCGCTAGCCCAAGGAATTTTCGAAGACCTTTGACATCGACCGGCACGGGCCAGTCGGTGATCGCCTTGATCTTTTCGGGATCAGGACGTACACCGTTCTTACCAACGATGCACCCAAGAAGTGGTATTTCGCTTGCTGCAAATATACACTTCTTGAGGTTTGCATACAATTGATGCTTTCGCATGATTGTAAGAACTTGTCGGACGTGGTACTTGTGAACCTCAACGTCCGACTTTCCATCCATAGCTCGACTATGGATGAATACGTCATCGAAATAACTCGGCGCGAATTCTCGTACTGGCCTCAACAGATGTGATACACACCTGTTGAACGTGGCAGGGGCATTACTGAGCCCTTGTGGCATTACTAGCCATTCCCAGAGCATGCCGCTAGGCGTGCTAACTGCGGTATAGGGTATATCCCGTTCCCGCATTAGGATTTGATAGAAGCCATCCATCAAATCCATGGACGAAAAGATGGTACTCTTTGACATACCATCAATGATTACGTCCTTCCTCGGTATCGGCGTCTGAGCCGGTACCGTTGCAGCGTTCAATTTGTTAAACGCGTGCACTATCCGCCACCCTCCTGTTGCTTTTCGCACACAGAAGGTCGGAGAGCTATGTGGGGAAGTTGATTCCCTCACATGGCCCGCTGCTAAACGATCGGCAAAGAACTTGTCGATCGCAAGTACTTGTTCACGAGGCAGTGGCCACTGCTTCATGACACAGTACTTCGAGCCTGGTTTAAGCTCGACTTCGTGTCGAATACCTTTATCCTTCGGTAATTCGCACGGAACAGTTTCAGGGAATACATCCTTGAATTCAACCAAATCTTCATAGAGAGGATTTTCCTTGAGCGATTCCCATGATTGGGACTCATATCGCTCAATTCGTGTCTTTTCATCTAGGACACTCTCGTCCATAGATGAACTACTGAGAACTCTCTCGTTCTCAGTAAACACTGTTGCTGACCTTATGTCGGTTACATACTCGTCGTCAGCGACGAGTATGCAGATCTGCTTGACTTTGCCACTACGCAGATCACGCAAGAATCTTTTATGTTCGAGCGTTGGCAACTGAGTGATCTCCGAAGTTAACTTCGGAGGCGCAATCAGATCAAGTGTATAAGCGCCTACACATGATCCGTTATTGACTATGACATTCAATGTCTCTGTCATTTCCTGGGGACTTATTCCCTCAGGCTTCGAAGGACTTATTCCTTCGTCTTCCCGGGGACTTATTCCCGCGGGTTTCGGGGAACTTATTTCCGCCGTATTTGTAATCTTGGGACTTATTCCCTTTACTTCCTCTAGCTGGGGTTGCGCAACCACAGCGAGATCCTCTACGAAAGACTCTCCAGTCGATCTAGGATTATCGTTTCGCTTAACCTGAGCGATCGATTGTTTCTCTTCTAGATGTTCCCCTCTAGGGATACATCTTTGTCCCAGTCCACCCGACTTATTCGAGTGGTGGACCTTCGGCGCAGCCTGTGTTTCCTCACAGCCGCCGGAACTTTGCTCCGAAGTGTAACCGTTTGGTACACTAAGGTTTTGTGCAGTCGTACTAACGACCGTACCACAAGTGAGGCCATCGCACTCACTCGTAGTACATCCACACGCTTGTGGACGCTCCAAAACGTTCATCAGATGGCCATCTGATGAACAAGCGGCAGGCATCGTTACTGTCCGATGTTGCCAGTTTACCCGTGGTTCGTACCTTCTGAGCCACGGTATTCCAAGGATGACATCAAATTTGTCATCCAAATCCAATACGATAAAGTCATCGTCGTATTGGGTATCTTCTAGCGTATAGTGAATCTTCACTATGCGCTTCATGACGGTTACGGATGCGCCTGTCGCAAGACGTACCGTCATCCTCGTAGGAGGTGTGTCACATTCACTGAATTTAAAGTGACCATCTTCTAGCGATTGGCGTCGCACAAAAATTGTTGGACGCCCCACAATCGACTAGAGCTCGAAGGGACAACTTATTCGTCACTTCGAGTTTCAAGGTAATGAGTGAGATCTCATTACCTAGAGCAGCAACGCACAATGTCTGTGTGTTGGGAGCAACCTTCATCAAGAGGCCTACAAATTCTCTTGACGTTGCTGGATCAGTAGGGTGCTCCGCACCTACTGATCCTGTCCGTTTTTTGACGGTCCATCCCGTTGTTGCGTCTTTGCACCAACTGCGGACCCTCGTCCCTGCCCCTTTCTCATGGGTGGACGGTCACTACGCCCAGTGTCGCGAGACACTGGACGAGGGGCACTACACTCGTAAGCGTAGTGTCCTGTCTTTTGACATCTGTTGCATCTCTGCAACTTCTTGTAGCCTGTAGAGCGAGCCTTCTCGCTCTCTACATAGCAGAGTTCCATCGGCTCTGGACCTCCGTTGTCATATCGTCTCGGTTGACGATATGATGTCGAGCTGGCGCGAGCCTGTCTCAGACTGAAGTCTTCCTGCTCCGCAATTGAAATGGCTTGTTCTAGTGAATCTAGTTCAAGCCGGAACAGGTGAGTCTTGACGGGACCATCCGCAAGACCCTGCATGAACACCGAAACCAACGTGTGTTCATCCACCGGATTGGAACTTATACAACTCGTGAGATGTCGTATATGTTGAGCGTAAGCGTGCACATCACGCTTACCCTGCTTGAGCTTCAAGAGTTCGGTTCGAGCTCTGAACTCAGCTCTAGGCGGTTCAAACGTTTGTCTGAGCCGCGACTTGAAGACTTCCAACGACCCAAACGCGTATGGGTCGTGCAGCTTGAGCCCCAGTGCCCAAGTCTTGGCACGTCCTGCCAGATTTGACTGGGCAAATGCAACTTGCATATCCCCGTCGTCGATGCGACGCGCCCTTATGGCGTCATCCAATTCGACGAACCATCTCAAGAGGGAGTCTTCTTCGACCCCTCTATACTTTGAGATGTCAATCTTCAAAGTCTCGGGCCGACGCGAGTGCATCGACCCGCCAGCAGCAGCCTGCTGCTGTCTCAACAGTTCAAACTGTTGAGCACCTTGTTCTCTCAACAACTCTGCTTGTTGAGAACCTTGTTGGTGAAGCAAGGCTACTTTCTCGCGTTCTGCGTCAAGTTCATTTTGAATGAACTTGGCGATAGTAGCATGTTGGGCATCTCTATTGAGAGCCTCTAGCATGACGCTAACAGCATGGATGCCCATGGTCGAACCCATTCGTTCAACCGCATCCCATTCGACATCGCTCAAATGGGAGTAGCCGTCACGCGTAGCGTGAAAGCTTTGGTCATCTTCATCATCCAACATATTCATGTTGGATGTGAACGCGGTCCTTGGACGGACTACGAAGTGCTACCAGGTGTAACGGGGCACCCTGAAGCTTGTACTGGTGACAGTACAAGCTACTTATTCTGATAACAGAATAAGGCGGTGCCTCGTAACTTCACGTACACTCGTACGTGCAGAGGAAGACGGTAAGAAGAAGCGAGTACTCGGTTAGAGTAAGAAGTAGAACTGTATTTATAATAGTTAATGTCTGCAATAAATCACTATTTATCTTCATCTAACTATGTCTAAATACAAATGTGTAAATCAGTTATCTGCTCACCACTCATTGCGTGCGTCTGTCGTGGCGCGTCTTCGTTGGTTGATATAATGGCCTATATCAACCAATTAGGAACTACTTGGAAGTGCTACAGAATATTGTCCTTATGACAATATTCTGAGAATATAACTCTTATAGTTATATTCTATTAACAATTTCTTATAAATTGTTATGTAACGATTCACCCCGTTACACCATTGACATCTTAGCGGATGCAAATCGTCGAGTTCCCGGACCGAACGGGGTCCTGACATGACCCGACAATTAATGTAGCCCGGATCCGTGACCACTGATATGCGCGCCAAAACGGAGGTGGGTGACGCAAGACAAGACCCGGCTCTGTCGGGTCCCGCACCCACAGCAAGGTGGGTTAACGCGCGCAGGATCGAAGTTGCTTATCGTTGTAATTTACGATACAAATGCACAGGCGAAATCGGCCGAGCGATGGGAACGTAAATAGAAATTCCTGTGGCCCCGATCGTCTGATTTAAAGACTGAATAGTGAACATGGGGGTATCCGGTCATATTTGGCCCGCGCGAGGGTCTTGCCGCCAAGCCCTAGAATCCAAAGATTGCCATATCAGTGGAAGTGGCCCCAGAAAGCGGCAAGTGCATCCATCCGTAGGTCAAAACAGCAGAATGGTCTGGAAACGCGTGATGGAATGATATTATCCAGTCGTTGTTGTCCCACTGAATGCGCGCCCCTTCAAACAATTGAGCGTGATGGGCGTCTGACCTGGCTCGAAGCGACATCACTTGTTCGGGGGAGGGAGCTAGGAGCTGTTCGAGATCCTGCACCAGAAAGGAACTGCCGCTTCCGCGGACGGTGGCGAACGTTGTTGAAGTTGGAGGATGTAGCGCCGGGACTAGTGCCGACGTGGAACAACCCACGATATATGTCTAGCGCCGCCATGCTGTAAACTAGATGTCATGTGGTTGCGTTATCTATCGTAACGCGTGCTTTGCTCGCTGTGTTTTGACGGCGACCTCGAATGAGGCCAGCCCAACCCCGTCCGCCTTCCGTGGCGTAAAGAGTAGACGCAAGTTAATTTTGTGCCGACGGACGGTAGGCGTAGAATCGTGCGCCCAAAGTAATTGGCGATACAGACGATATATCTTAGTTCTCGCCCAATCCGGAAAACCGAAGACGGCTGCGGTGAACAGGATAGCCAGTAAAACAATTTGTTAAGAATAAGAACTCGATTTGGCACACTGGTTGCAACTTTTGCGGCGGTGAGAAGCCGCCTGCGGATTTTCTGAAGTCGTAGCGCCCAGTTTAAATTAGATAACCCCCGCCCCTGTGACCACTCCGTAGTCCAGGTATCACATCGTCTCACTGTGGTGTAATACTGAGATGCCTTCATACTGTTAGAGCCTGGTCGCCGTGTTTAACAAATTAATTTGCTCTTGGCAGGCTGGTTGTGAAGGCCCGATAGTTGTCCAAATCGATTGACCAGCACCAATGCATGTAATTGATGAGCATGCTCAAGGAAAATGGTGGAGTCGTCCACAAAAGCGGAAAATCTATGCGTCACCCCGCCAGCCCCAGTCACCAGGATACCTCGGATGTTGGGTGCCTGGTGAATAGCCAACCCCAGTAATTCAACCACAATGAGAAAAGAAGTGGTGCGAGAGGACACTCTTGGTGTATCCCGGAACAGACAGGAACTGGTTCAGAAATTTTCCATTGACCATAAACCGGGTGGTTAATCCCGTGTGCATCCGGGTGACAAGTGTGATAAACACTCCATCAATTTGAAAGCTCCGTAATGCCGCGTACAGAAAATAACGATCCACAGTGTCGTGCGCCTTGCGAAAGTAAGGTAGTAGAATAGCTTGGCTTAAGCCGACGGACAGATCCGTCCCCTCCTCCGCTGAAGCGAGTTGGGCTGTCATCATCATGTCCTGTTTATGCATTTGTTCGACACGAACAAAACCTTGTTGCGATTTCCCGGTGATTGTAGGTAAGGCTCGCTGAAGTTGGGAGGCCAGCACTTCGCAAAATTTTGTAACTGCTGTGTAGCAATGAGATCGGCTTGAAGTCAAGTGCGTCCGGCGAATCGCCCTTTTTTTCGAAGTGAAATAACCAGCGCCTCGAGAAAGGAATGTTGCACGGTTCTCGTAAGGCGGCATATTAGAACCGTGCAACATTTGATTGCGCACGTGGACCAGCGCCGGAGCCAGTAAAGCGGCTTCATCTTCGTAAAAGTCGTCGTTAAGACCGTTCGGCTTTGAAGCTTTGTGGCGGCCAAGCTCGTTGATGTCTTGGAGAACGTCAGCATCAGTGACGTCCAACATGAGCCCATGATTATCAGCGGTAGTAGGCGATCAGTAGGCACTTACACGAAGTGAAGCAAAGTGCTCGGTAAAGCTGACGAGGGTTTATCTGATGCACGGCGCTTAGAACTGGTGACCATTCCGAATCGAACTTGTCGGCAATGGACATGTTTTCCCCAAATGGTGGACCATGAATGCGGACGATATCCGTAATGTTCGGCCGCGCTCCCAATCTGCGACCCGCTTTAACGACCATTTAAAAGGCGCAGATCTCCGTTCGAGGCTCTGCCCTAATCGAAAGAGATGGTCCAGGCGGTGATCTTCCATATTACCACTGATCCACTGAGGACGGGTCAAGAGCTGGCGCCAATCGCGTCGGCTTACCCGCTTTATAAAACGAGTACGTCTTTGACGCTCGCGCTTGCGAACGGTGGCGATGCAATGTTTGTACGCTTCCACGGCAGCATTCCATTGCCTGACCGACGTAGTTGGGGATGCCACCCACCTATCCATTTCTGCAATAAGATCGGAGCGAACGCGTTCGGGTTGGTATGTCTGTATGGGATAGGATACTTGAAGCCGGTAGAGGGTGGAGGCAGAACGCCTCCGCACGTGTAATTGTAACTCCGCTTCTTGATATCCCGACGCTTTGGGAAGTGTTCGGACGGCTAACTAACTCACTAATTCATCCCACCTCTGAAAAACATAAAAACGGTCAACGCAGCTAGCTGATTCTGTAACGGGGCACCCTGAAGCTTGTACTGGTGACAGTACAAGCTACTTATTCTGATGACAGAATAAGGCGGTGCCTCGTAACTTCACGTACACTGGTACTTGCAGAGGAAGCCGGTAGGTAGAAGCGAGTACTTGGTTAGAGTAAAAAGTAGAACTGTATTTATAATAGTTTATGTCTGCAATAAATCACTATTTATCTTCATCTAACTATGTCTAAATACAAATGTGTAAATCAGTTATCTGCTCACCACTCATTGCGTGCGTCTGTCGTGGCGCGTCTTCGTTGGTTGATATAATGGCCTATATCAACCAATTAGGAACTACTTGTAAGTGCTACCAGGTGTAACGGGGCACCCTGAAGCTTGTACTGGTGACAGTACAAGCTACTTATTCTGATGACAGAATAAGGCGGTGCCTCGTAACTTCACGTACACTGGTACGTGCAGAGGAAGACGGTAGGTAGAAGCGAGTACTTGGTTAGAGTAAAAAGTAGAACCCCGACAGGTGCACGCTACAAGCTGCATCGTCTGTCAAGGGAGAAAGGATTACCCTGCCTCTCTTGGGGAGACTCGTGCCCATGTTGTGTGAACAACTCTGCACGAGCACCTAAGGAGGCTTACCTCCTTACCAGCCCGTGGTGGCGTGTACGTGTCTCTACTGAGATGTACGAAGGGATTGACAACCTGAAATCCCTTTACGACCGTGCCGGAAAGACTTTCTCCGGCGGTCCTTCTGCGGCACAGGATGTGCCGCGTCGTACTGCTCAACCAGACCCAGTACGTCGATCATCAGTTGGGAACGGGGCTCCCAAGAATCCCAGGACGGGGGATAGCCGCGCCACCGGACGAGATAACTCGTCCGACGTCCGTTCACGTCGCGGTGGTTCAACAGCTGCTCAACTAGATAGCGCTGGCCACCGCGAGAGTCCTCTAATGGAGGTGGAGGAGGAGGAAAGACGCTCTCCACACGATCATGTGGATCGGTGTGTTCCCGAGAGCTTCTTTGATCGCGTAACGCAAGGGTTACGCGACGATCTCGAACATGAGCGGAATAGGCGTCTCCAAATGGCGGACACTGCCTCGAAGCATCGAGCTGAGTTTGCCTTTGCTCAGCTCGAGAACGAGAGATCTCTGACATCTCTTCGTGACGAGCTAAGGGTAGCTCGTGGGATTGTTGATCGGTCTCGGGCTGAGATAACTGCTCTTCAGACCCTTGTTGATGCCCACCATCGGGAGCACAAGGCTCTCTGCGAGATGCTTGAGCGCAAGGGCGTTCTTCATCGGAAGAAGCAGCGTACTGATGGTACGGCTTAAGCCGACCAACGTAAAACGTGGGATGCGTTCGCATCTTACGTGGTAACTCGATCGTGTATGCATTGCCTAGGCGGTGCAATACACGAAATGGGCCAATGTACTTGGGTAGTAGTTTACTGCTACCCAAGTTAGTCACTACATGCTTTGGTAGATTAACCGTAGACAGTAGGACTAAGTCACCTTTATTAAATAAAAGAGTGTTTGCCCTTCCATTCTTGTCAGCGTTTTGCTTTTGCTTATCCACCGCTTCGGCGATGGAGTCTTGCACAAAACGGACTACCGTTTCACGAGCCAGTATGAACTCATCTGATGACTCGTTAGCTTCAGTGTGCTGTGAGCGCACTGCAGCAACATCAACCTTTTCTTCAGTGAGGGCTTCCGCACTCTCACTGGGATCATCTTCTTCAGTGAGGGCTTCCGCACTCTCACTGGCATCATCTTCTTCGATATCGATGTTATCGATATCGGCATCAAACGCAATGACTTCTTCGTCAGAGCGTGATGAGCGTGAACCAAATCAGTTTTTGCTCGCGCGAGTCCCTCCCCCCTTAAACCAGAGTTACACTCTAGTAAGGTGGGTACACGCGGATGGCGCAAGCCATTCACGTAAAACGGTGTATGTGTCGTGGACACATGCACCGAGTTGTTGATGGCAAACTCTACCATTGGCAAAAACTCACTCCAAATCTTCAAGGAGTGTACGTATCCTCGAAGTATCTCTTCAAGGACACGATTGGCACGTTCCGTCTGACCATCTGACTCTGGATGATCAGATGTTGACATCTTCAAGCGCGTTCCGAGTGATTTGAACACGGAACGCCAGAAATCAGCAGTGAATCGTGGATCTCTGTCTGATACGAGTTCACGGGGCAACCCATGAAGTCGGAAGATGGTGTCAATAAAGACACAAGCACAGCCACTTGCCGTGATTGTCTCTGGTACAGCTACAAGGTGTATCATTTTGCTGAATCTGTCAACAAATACGAGAATACCCGTATTCCCGCGTGCGTCTTTGGGTAACCCGAAGACGAAATCCATTGAGATGGATTCCCAGCACTCAGCCGGAACCGGTAGAGGCTGTAAAGGTGCACGCAGTGAAGGACTTGACTTCACTCGTTGACAGACTTCGCATGCGCGAACATACTTTCGCACAAACTGAAACTGGCGGGGCCAGTAAAAGTCTCGACTTACCGTGAGATATGTTTTCTCTCGGCCACGATGTCCTCCTATAGGAGCATCGTGATACTCGAACATGATCCGCAAACGCAGATCAGTATCATCTGGAATGACAACACGTGGTGTGTCACCAGAAACGGCTGTATAGTACAGTAAACCGTTACGAGTAGTGTATCGATCTGATGCAGATCGATACGCAGACGACAATCGTTTCAACGATTCTCGAGATGGTTGGGAGAGATGTGACAACAACTTCACTATCTCACCATCTTGGGCGTATGCCCGCCTCACATCATCATACAACGTTGTAGATGGGACTGAGGACGTCATAACCGCAACGGTGACTGTCTCACTGTTGGGTTTCGCGACTGTTTCAAAGTCGGGACGACGTGAGAGTGCATCAGCGACGACATTAAGTCGTCCTGGTTTGTACTCGACCGTAAAGTTGTATTCCGCAAAGAATGACAACCACCGCGCCATTCGTTGTGAAAGGTGCGGGCTGTTCACTGCCGTGCGTAATGACGCATGGTCAGTGTAAACAACGAAGGGTCTATCTCCTAATAGATAGACTCTGAACTTCGCGAGTGCATACTTCATGGCAAGGAGTTACTTGTCATGCACTGGATAGTTCCGCTCAGCTGGTTGCATCTGACGCGACTGATAGCAGACGACGCGTTCAACGCCTTCAAGATCGTACTGCATTAATGCACAGCCGATTGCGAAATCGCTGGCATCACATACCACATGAAATGGCCTGTCCTGATCGGCTATTGCTAGGACTGGGGATTGTATCAAGCTCTGCTTGATACCCTCAAAGGATCGTTGACATTCAGCGTTCCATAACCACCTCTCGTTCTTTTTCAACAAACGAGAGAGGTGCACAGTCATCTCGGCGTAATTGCGTGAATACTTATGCAAATACGCCGCTAGCCCAAGGAATTTTCGAAGACCTTTGACATCGACCGGCACAGGCCAGTCGGTGATCGCCTTGATCTTTTCGGGATCAGGACGTACACCGTTCTTACCAACGATGCACCCAAGAAGTGGTATTTCGCTTGCTGCAAATATACACTTCTTGAGGTTAGCATACAATTGATGCTTTCGCATGATTGTAAGAACTTGTCGGACGTGGTACCTGTGAACCTCAACGTCCGACTTTCCATCCATAGCTCGACTATGGATGAATACGTCATCGAAATAACTCGGCGCGAATTCTCGTACTGGTCTCAACAGATGTGATACACATCTGTTGAACGTGGCAGGGGCATTACTGAGCCCTTGTGGCATTACTAGCCATTCCCAGAGCATGCCGCTAGGCGTGCTAACTGCGGTATAGGGTATATCCCGTTCCCGCATAAGGATTTGATAGAAGCCATCCATCAAATCCATGGACGAAAAGATGGTACTCTTTGACATACCATCAATGATTACGTCCTTCCTCGGTATCGGCGTCTGAGCCGGTACCGTTGCAGCGTTCAATTTGTTGAACGCGTGCACTATCCGCCACCCTCCTGTTGCTTTTCGCACACAGAAGGTTAAAGAGCTATGTGGGGAAGTTGATTCCCTCACATGGCCCGCAGCTAAACGATCGGCAAAGAACTTGTCGATCGCAAGTACTTGTTCACGAGGCAGTGGCCACTGCTTCATGACACAGTACTTCGAGCCTGGTTTAAGCTCGACCTCGTGTCGAATGCCTTTATCCTTCGGTAATTCGCACGGAACAGTTTCAGGGAATACATCCTTGAATTCAACCAAATCTTCATAGAGAGGATTTTTCTTGAGCGATTCCCATGATTGGGAGTCATATCGCTCAATTCGTGTCTTTTCATCTAGGACACTCTCGTCCATAGATGAACTACTGAGAACTCTCTCGTTCTCAGTAAACACTGTTGCTGACCTTATGTCGGTTACACACTCGTCGTCAGCGACGAGTATGCAGATCTGCTTGACTTTGCCACTACGCAGATCACGCAAGAACCTTTTATGTTCGAGCGTTGGCAACTGAGTGATCTCCGAAGTTAACTTCGGAGGCGCAATCAGATCAAGTGTATAAGCGCCTACACTTGATCCGTTATTGACTATGACATTCAATGTCTCTGTCATTTCCTGGGGACTTATTCCCTCAGGCTTCGAAGGACTTATTCCTTCGTCTTCCCGGGGACTTATTCCCGCGGGTTTCGGGGAACTTATTTCCGCCGTATTTGTAATCTTGGGACTTATTCCCTTTACTTCCTCTAGCTGGGGTTGCGCAACCACAGCGAGATCCTCTACGAAAGACTCTCCAGTCGATCTAGGATTATCGTTTCGCTTAACCTGAGCGATCGATTGTTTCTCTTCTAGATGTTCCCCTCTAGGGATACATCTTTGTCCCAGTCCACCCGACTTATTCGAGTGGTGGACCTTCGGCGCAGCCTGTGTTTCCTCACAGCCGCCGGAACTTTGCTCCGAAGTGTAACCGTTTGGTACACTAAGGTTTTGTGCAGTCGTACTAACGACCGTACCACAAGTGAGGCCATCGCACTCACTCGTAGTACATCCACACGCTTGTGGACGCTCCAAAACGTTCATCAGATGGCCATCTGATGAACAAGCGGCAGGCATCGTTACTGTTCGATGTTGCCAGTTTACCCGTGGTTCGTACCTTCTGAGCCACGGTATTCCAAGGATGACATCAAATTTGTCATCCAAATCCAATACGATAAAGTCATCGTCGTATTGGGTATCTTCTAGCGTATAGTGGATCTTCACTATACGCATCATGACGGTTACGGATGCGCCTGTCGCAAGACGTACCGTCATCCTCGTAGGAGGTGTGTCACATTCACTGAATTTAAAGTGACCATCTTCTAGCGATTGGCGTCGCACAAAATTGTTGGACGCCCCACAATCGACTAGAGCTCGAAGGGACAACTTATTTGTCACTTCGAGTTTCACGGTAATGAGTGAGACCTCATTACCTAGAGCAGCAACGCACAACGTTTGTGTGTTGGGAGCAACCTTCATCAAGAGGCCTACAAATTCTCTTGACGTTGCTAGACCAGTAGGGTGCTCCGCACCTACTGATCCTGTCCGTTTTTTGACGGTCCATCCCGTTGTTGCGTCTTTGCACCAACTGCGGACCCTCGTCCCTGCCCCTTTCTCATGGGTGGACGGTCACTACGCCCAGTGTCGCGAGACACTGGACGAGGGGCACTACACTCGTAAGCGTAGTGTCCTGTCTTTTGACATCTGTTGCATCTCTGCAACTTCTTGTAGCCTGTAGAGCGAGCCTTCTCGCTCTCTACATAACAGAGTTCCATCGGCTCTGGATCTCCGTTGTCATATCGTCTCGGTTGACGATATGATGTCGAGCTGGCGCGAGCCTGTCTCAGACTGAAGTCTTCCTGCTCCGCAATGGAAATGGCTTGTTCTAGTGAATCTAGTTCAAGCCGGAACAGGTGAGTCTTGACGGGACCATCCGCAAGACCCTGCATGAACACCGAAACCAACGTGTGTTCATCCACCGGATTGAAACTTATACAACTCGTGAGATGTCGTATATGTTGAGCGTAAGCGTGCACATCACGCTTACCCTGCTTGAGCTTCAAGAGTTCGGTTCGAGCTCTGAACTCAGCTCTAGGCGGTTCAAACGTTTGTCTGAGCCGCGACTTGAAGACTTCCAACGACCCAAACGCATATGGGTCGTGCAACTTGAGCCCCAGTGCCCAAGTCTTGGCACGTCCTGCCAGATTTGACTGGGCAAATGCAACTTGCATATCCCCGTCGTCGATGCGACGCGCCCTTATGGCGTCATCCACTTCGACGAACCATCTCAAGAGGGAGTCTTCTTCGACCCCCCTATACTTGGAGATGTCAATCTTCAAAGTCTCGGGTCGACGCGAGTGCATCGACCCACCAGCAGCAGCCTGCTGCTGTCTCAACAGTTCAAACTGTTAAGCACCCTGTTCTCTCAACAACTCTGCTTATTGAGAACCTTGTTGGTGAAGCAAGGCTACTTTCTCGCGTTCTGCGTCAAGTTCATTTCGAATGAACTTGGCGATAGTAGCATGTTGGGCATCTCTATTGAGAGCCTCTAGCATGACGCTAACAGCATGGATGCCCATGGTCGAACCCATTCGTTCAACCGCATCCCATTCGACATCGCTCGAATGGGAGTAGCCGTCACGCGTAGCGTGAAAGCTTTGGTCATCTTCATCATCCAACATATTCATGTCGGATGGGAACGCGGTCCTTGGACGGACTACGAAGTGCTACCAGGTGTAACGGGGCACCCTGAAGCTTGTACTGGTGACAGTACAAGCTACTTATTCTGATGACAGAATAAGGCGGTGCCTCGTAACTTCACGTACACTGGTACGTGCAGAGGAAGACGGTAGGTAGAAGCGAGTACTTGGTTAGAGTAAAAAGTAGAACTGTATTTATAATAGTTAATGTCTGCAATAAATCACTATTTATCTTCATCTAACTATGTCTAAATACAAATGTGTAAATCAGTTATCTGCTCACCACTCATTGCGTGCGTCTGTCGTGGCGCGTCTTCGTTGGTTGATATAATGGCCTATATCAACCAATTAGGAACTACTTGGAAGTGCTACAGAATATTGTCCTTATGACAATATTCTGAGAATATAACTCTTATAGTTGGTTATATTCTCAGAATGAACTTGGCGATAGTAGCATGTTGGGCATCTCTATTGAGAGCCTCTAGCATGAATTGTTATGTAACGATTCACCCCGTTACAGATTCCCCCTCCCAGTGTTTAAAATGATCCGCACAGTCGTCCGCTTCCTCATCACCGTGCGGGATCGAAGGAGCCGAGCATCTTCTAGACCGTGGAGATCCGGACTGGCTTGAAGATTTGGGCTTTCCGGTCGACACGACCAATGATGACCAAGCCGATCAAGTAACAGGCTTTGGAAGCAGTTGAAGTCACCTGTCACGATAGAGCTTTCTCGCGTAAATTCCCAACGGGCGAGAGAAATGCAGAAAGCTTCGCGATCGGATCTGAGCGACGGAGCGTACACATTGATGAGGATCATATCATCTAATGAAATCTCGATCGCCCTGGTAAACTACAAATCTTGGCGACAGGGAGAAGCTTTCACAGATAAAAAGGGTGTTAGCAAACTGGCCACGCCCCCGAGACAAGATGAACCAACGATCCAGTACGAAAGTGGCGGGTGACCACCATCCTGGTGCTTGCCCCGCATACGTGCCCAGGTCGTGCATAACTCTTGAGCTTCCTCGGATGTTTAAACATTAGTTTACTGAATACACCACGCTTGTGGTCGATTACCGGAAGGACGGATACGCCATGTCGACATCGAGCCGGTCCGTACGCTTTTTTGTAAACTTGCGGACGCTCTGCGTGATACATGTAGTACTTGGATGCTTTGAGAAAAAATGAGACCGTGTAGTATCACTGCTGGACCATTCAGAAAGCAATGCGTGTCTTACAAAGGCGTCCGCATCTTCAAGATTGTGATGAGCAAGTGCGTTGCTAGCGAATCTCGTAAAGTGTCAATAGTAAAGATAAGCGCCGTCTCCGCTGCAGGTGTAATGGCATAATAGAAAAAGCTCTCGACTGCCCTCAAATCCTCGTATTGACGGTCCTCTTGGTAGAAGGCAGACTAGAAGGTGTTATTTTTTTAGAAGCTGCGGATGCCACCGGATTTGTTGATCAGGTGACGACTCCGCCGCCGTCCCCTCAGTTAGCACTTCTATCTCGTGCTCGAAAAGAAGAGCGCACAGCAGGTGCGGGACTATACCGAACCTTGCGGCACAGATCACATAGCTTTCTAATATCATCCGCAGCGTGCTTCTGCTCGCGTAATTTGTGCCAGTCGTCCCCGTTATCTATAAGCAAAGACAAACCTGACTGAGCGGCTGAAGATGTTGCGCGATCAATCCAACAACTGAGTCATTCTTGAAGACGCGCTGATGACACCTTTTACGAAATGAATGTAGCCAGGATAGGAAGCTATCCTGTCACCAACGGGCAACCAGTGGACCAGAACTTGGACGTCAAGACTTGCAAGCGGCTCGCAGGGGAAAACAAAACGCCATAGGTGATGGAGAAGTGCGATAGGGTCCTGTTAAGCTGTTTGCACCCGCTCCACGGTCGTGCTGTCGACACGCGGACCAGCCGTCACTGTTGAGGGTGGCCTTTCTGGGACTAAAGAAATACAAAAACCCGTCCGATCGTCGCGATCATTGCGACCCGCTTAAGTTCTCAATGTTGAGCTGACCGCGTCCTTCGCTGTGTCCGGCGTCCGACATAGGTGACGTTAGTGCTTTTTCCTCGGGATGGTGTCCTCGGTGGGTTGAGCATCAGCACAGGATGGGTGTGCTCGTTTCCGTGTCTCCTCTGGAGGTGACGGATCTGCAGCAGATGGTAGGCTCCCGTACAGTACCAAAGCGTGAGACGCACCGCCAACTGACTGGACGTCGGCTACACCGGGCCTCATAGCGAGCTGCGAGGCATAAAAACATAGTTGTGAACCATTTTCTCCCCATTGAGACACGTAATCTGGAGAAGTTTGTAGCTTTCTGGGAGCTTCTACCGCACGCTGAGAGCTCACTGAAAGATGCGCTTGAACGGGTGGAGAATCTGAAAGGTCCGAGAGTCCTGCCCCCCCGATCGGGATGAAGGAGAGCTGAGTACGGCCGTTTAGAGAAACAGAGGAAGATTGGAAGGCCTCTCCCATGATCCAGTATTGCAGTGTAGAGAGAGCTATAGGAGACTCCCGCACCGTTTCCACGGACTTGTTATTTCGCGTCTCGACAGACGTACTGTATTTGCGGCATACCTGGACGCTTAAATTTGCAGTCTCCTCGTGGATGACATAGATGTCCCGGCTTAGAAAAGTGGTCGCTAGTCCAAGAATGTCACAGCCTCTCAATTTCGTCTGGGTAATCACCGAGCCTCTTACCGATGGTGTAGCGGCATAGTCTTGTAAGTACCATCTACATTGATTTGTAGACTCCCGTTTAGTCATTGTTGACCACGTCCGGTCAGCGTTAAGTATAGCAGCCACCCGGAGATCATGTGCAAAGTGCTCCTGAAGGTGCTACAATCCTGTATAATGAAAACCGTTCTTGATACAGCCGCGAGTCGTTCCAAGGTGTCATTAGTCCCGTCCAGCGCAGCGTCAGCCAGTGCTTGAGCTACAGCCACAGCCAAGCAATTTCCGGTGACGGGCTTATTTGCTTCTTGCAATCCCAGTGTTTGAGTGAGAACATTCAAGTCTTTCGGGACTTTGATCGGACGCGGATCCATCGAAATCGCGTGCTATGGTTCGTCATGCAGTCGGCTGAGTAACTTCTGACATGTGGCCCGCTCTTGACTCTATAAAGTCAACAACATTGGGCTTGAGTGGATCAGCACTTTTCCGCGCGGTAGAGCCTTTTCCGCCGAGTTCGTTCCTGTGTTGACAAGCGTCAAGGTGGAATGGGAGTTAGCACCGGCTTAAAGCTGTCGTGATCCATCCAATTAGTGACCAAAGGCTCATGAGTCGACCCCGTGCTTAGCCTGTCCGTTCCACCCGTGGATGAAAGCACTGAAACCGTACCGAGCTGAGCTGTGGCGTGGAACGAACCGGCTGGCGGGTTATCTAGGGATTTTTGGATCCACGGACTGCCTTTAAAATCCACGGTTTCTCAAGAAAGTGCTTGGGGCAGGCACCGAGTCACCAGAGTTTGGTCTAGCAGGAGTGCAGACCAATTGTGGTCTATCACGTGGACCTGCACCAGGAGGCTCGGATACCAATGTCGAACTCACTGGCACCATGCTGGGTTTGACGGTGGCTTGAGACGCTGCATCCGCCGACCGCTGGAGTTGAGGACGTCGATCCACTATGATGCGAATCTCGTCGGCACTGCCGAAAGGTTTCGCCAGGTGGTCCACGGCTTGGAGGTCTCCCTCCGTAACATCGATGACACCAACCTACCCGGATTTGATCATCCGTAAACTGACACCTGAAGGCTGCGTGGCCGAGGTCACCACACTGGAGGCACTAAAGGCGGCAACCACGTAGGGATGACGAAGAATAATTTAAGTGCCAAACCAGAGGATATAAACGATCCCGGAAAGAAATAGGAAACATCCAGAAAGCTGAAATGTGACCTTCCATGAAGTAGACGTTCGGTACTTCGGACAATTAGTATATATCTTCAAAGTCGAATTTCGTCGGTATCTTCGACTTGAGGATCGCCGCGACACGGCCAATCTCGTTAAAAATGAGTGAAATTATGTAGAATAATTGAGTACTCGGCTCAAAGAAGTCCGGCCCTTCCACTTGGACCTTGTTGACAATTCCAAACGGAGCCGAGCTCCTGATGGTGCTCGTTAGTAAGCGTGTAGACACGGCTTTGGAATGGAATGCGCACGTCCTGAAAACTCATTGCAGCTTTTCTAGAAAAAAGAAGAAGTGGATAGACTTGGTCGAGCGGTCATAATTGATGGCCTTCGTCAAGCCTATCAGCTTGTAAACTTCCTGAAGGTAAACCTTAGCTCTTTAGTAGATTCCAGTATAGGCTCGGTAGTAGCACGCGTTGTTTGCCGGCCTACCGGAATTTAGGGGTGTGGCCGAGATTTAGCACAAGATGACCTTTGACTTGAGCCTGGACGGTACTATAGAGCCGCAGTCGCTCCTTGCTGTCCTGTACAGCCCTGAGGAAGTCCGGCATACTTCGGCACGCCATGTACCCTTTCGCAATTCCGACAATAATTTTCCTCTCGTCATCGGTTCCTTTACGCAGCAGCAGCTTCCGATCCGCGGACGAGCGATCTGCACACAGTTGTTTTAGGTGCGCCACACCAGACGGTGGAAACCTGGAAGGGTCAAACACAAAATCTTCGTACTCGGTGGTAGTAGTCGCCGCTTTCGATACTGAAAAGCTGTTCCTTGACGTACAACGTTCGCCCAGTGGTTGAGAATAGGTGCCGTCGCCCACTTGTGCTGACTCGACTGTTTCCGAATAAAACCGGAAAACGCCCATTGCGTCGTGAGAAGGCCGTTACCTAAAGATCGAGCGATCCTTTGCCACTCCTTGTACGTCCCCGAGCTTGAAACAAACACTTGCTTAAACAGACGTAACGGGCTAGACACTTCCGCGTCTTTCAATTGTGGAAAGCGCTTTTTATGGAACGGAAGCGCCTCCACCCGTATCGGCAATATAGATTATTCCACCGCAAAGAGCTCACAAATTGTCGTCTTTCATACGTTCATGTTTAAATTCCCTGTGGGACCCTTCATCTCCGCTAATGCACGAACATAGCGAATATAGCGACGGAGGTAGATGCAGTGTCGGTCGCCTCTGCCGTTGTCGAATAGACTTCCAGCATATCAGATCCGCCGTAACAGGCTACCACTCCGTCGCTAGCGCTTGGCCTGTTCGAGGAGAGAGACATCAGCTCGGGAGAGGCTGAATCGCCTAAAATCGGGAGTTTAGAGCCCGTGTCAAAAGAGGGCGGGGAGGTCGCGGCCCTGGGCCCGTCTCTGTCCCCGTAAGTAGGGGTTCGGCGGCAGCCAACGGCCTATCCTCCCCCCCATCGGGAGAAGACACGGATTAGTCTTGGCATCCGTCGTGCGCCGAAAACCCTGGCAGGCCAGGTGTCGCTTTAACTCTTTTCTCTTCAAAACCAGTAAAATTAGAGATTGCATTGGTTTTGATGTCATATTCGTCACTCATCTATCGAGACTTTCCCAGAACAATCAAGAAGCGTGTCTTCAACGGACAAAAAACTATATCGAACGGACGAAAGCATCACCCCGAACGGACATAACCACCCACATTTTTCACTGCAGTTATATGACACTTAAAACATTTCACCACTGTCATTTATATCGCTACTGAAGCTGGATCACAGCATTCAGTTGACAGCTCTAGCCAGCTTGAATTTCTGGTAGAAAGTAGGAAGAGCTGGGTCTTGCAGTGTTTCAAAAGGAAAGGCTGCCTGCCATGTATCCAGACCCACTGGTAGAGCAGGTTGCACCACTTTCAAGTACAGAAGAACACAGGGAACAAGCTTCCTTTTTTGTCACCTGATAAAGACCCATCGAATCACTCCCGACGGCATACCTCTCAATTTTGGGCAGCCAACTGAGATTTAAGCCAAGCATCACCAAGGTCATCTATTGCAACGCGCTATGCATTGATGATGACCACAGACACTAATTCTCGTCATAGTTCATTCCTCTAACTTCTGAATTCCTAAAGCCGCAACCGTAAAGTTGGTGTTTCGTCAGGCTTTGCCGCATCAGATTGCTGAGTACCCAGAGCTGCGTGAACTGCTTGCAGTTTACCATTTTTTGTTAGAAACATATTCATTGGTTGAATTCGTCACATTATACTTTTTACGGCATCTCCCAGATGGTGTGTTGGTGGAAGGCATGGTTATTCAGCCGTTCACCCGCCACCAATTACCGGTTTCGACATCCCCTTAAGTCCGATACATTTTGCACCGGAGGGGGGGGTCCGAACCCGCAATCAGTGACTTGGAAGTCAGCTTACTGAGCCACTACACCAGGGGTCCACCCCTAGAAACATATTCATTGGTTGAATTCGTCACATTATACTTTTTACGGCATCTCCCAGATGGTTTGTTGGTGGAAGGCATGGTTATTCAGCTGTTCACCCGTTACTAATTCCGGTTTCGGCCCCCGGGGGGGTTCGAACCCGCAATCAGCGACTTGGAAGTCAGCTTACTGCGCCACTACACCAGGGGTCCACCCCTCTACACCAGGGGTCCACCCCTCTACACCAGGGGTCCACCCCTGTTTACACCAGGGGTCCACCCCTTTTACACCAGGGGTCCACCCCTAGAAACATATTCATTGGTGCAGATGCTATCCGGTATGCTACACTTACTGCTTTTCTCAAGAGTAAGCCAGATTGGATTTGCTTTGGGATTTGTTCGAATTAATTTGTTTACTTATCATGACTCTTTTGGTTTTTAGCTAAACAAAGAATAGAAAAGCACTTTATGGAGTTCGACTCCAACGTAAAATTCACATGCGATACATGGACGTCCCCTAACCACAAATCTGATCTTGGAGTCACTGTACACTGGGTTGCCCTTGACCGAGGAGCATGATGTTGTCATCGCAGCCAACGTCATCGTTGGCGACCCTAGCGGTATCAACTTGAGCAAGCACATGATTGACATTTTGAGGATTACGAACCTAATGACAAGATGTTCTGTATCACCACTGACAACGCTTAGACCAACGAGGTACTTTGCAGATACATTGCCGAATCCGTAAATGTTAAGAGTTCCAATGTTCTTTAGAACCTGTTGGGGTGCATGGCGCACGTCATCAATCTCGATGCTAATGCAGGCATCAAGGCACTTCAAGATGCATGCGAGGACGATGCAGTTCCTCCTAGCGACGTTCCGATCAAAATCCTACCTTACTAGGAGCTCGTGACTTTAATATTGGAGATGGTGAGATTTCATAGCTTTTCGTATGTTTAAGTTTTAGGGACTAACGTTTTGTGCCTCCAGATGGACCTGTTGTCGATCGCATTAGAGATCTAGCAAAGCGTTTAGGTAATTCTACTAAGCGTCGGGATCGCTTTCGAGCGATTGTTGAGTTTTCTCAGCCTGATGCTACTGACAATCCATTCTGCAAGACGTTGCTACTCGCTGTACTTATACTGCATTGATGTTTCTGCGTGCTGTATATCTTCGTGATTCCATTGATACCTACGTCAAAGGACTCACTACCTTGCAAAAAGAACTCCCTCAATGACACCAATTGGGATCTTGATGAGCACGTTATTTGCTTTTGCGCCCGTTGGAACAGGTAATCATTTGACACATTGTCATTTTACAATCGTTTTAACTAGTAATTTTATATTTTACAGGCTACAAGGATGCTTTCCGCTAGTACATATCCGTCTATCACAACAGCGTTGCCAGTACAAAAACTTCTTTTCCGGTATATAAAAAGTCTCGTCGCGACGTATGCTGAATCTGTTCTGTCCGAGCCCGTCAGCTCGATTATCTCTAAGCTAGAGAATTACGAAGCCAAGTCCACTCAGCAATAGGTGTACTTCAAAGCCACAATCCTCGATCCTCATTTCAAGCTTGCTTGGCTTGAGCTAAATAGCTACGAACGCGTATCCGTACTCTTGATCCGTCAGGATTTGAGGTCGACGCCCAGAATTAAAAGACGAGATCTTCCAAGCCGGCAGTCACAACGAAGGTGACACCAACTTTCGCCGATCTGTTCGACCGGATCTTCAAGAAGCCACGTTGCGCAACTTCAAACGACGAGGTTTGCCAATATCTGGGCATTACAGCCGAGAGTGGGATTGTCGAACCACTCATATGGGTGAAGGGGAAGTGCCAATCTTATCCGACTCTCGCCAAAATGGCTCGTTCACACTTAGCTGTTCCTGCCAAAGGTTGCCTAGCGAGCAAAAATTTTCTTCTGACCAACTGGTGGTTACGAACTTTCGAGGATCGCTCAGCGCCGTGCATATGGAAGCGCTCATGTGCATACAAAGTTGTTCATTAATGGGATTTATACAGGCTAAAAGGTGGATTTGTTATTTCCGCCATGCTTTTTACTATTTCCACCACACCGTAACCCAAAATATAACATTACAGGCGCACCACACCACATAGAACTGCCACACACACATCACCATCACTCCCGCCCTCAACGACGATCTCTGATCAGAGCACCCTCAAATTGCCAAGAAACGGCTGTGCCAAATTAACACATACGGGTACGCCCAAATTAGATTGACCTGCCTTCTATCCACCCCCGCAAGTTCTCTACCTAGTCTGCGTTCAACACGTACTGACTAATTTTAACTTTAACCGAATCTATAACAATATTTTTACAGCGTCTATAACAGAATGGCCAAACTTAACACTCAGAACACCAGCCGCGCGTTTATTCCAAATGTTCCACCAATCGATCTGGCGTATTCAGTACCCACACGTGCACTCTGTTCGGCTGCAAATTGCTCTGCCTAAATGCTAATCTACACGTCAGCGGTGTCAAAACTTCTGCACGATCGCATGCACCTGTACGGCGATATTTCGACTAGGTACGACAATAAGTGCACGCAAACGAATACACAACACGCGAGAGCAGTCGCTGAACAGTTGACACGACGTACGTAAGAGTCTTGCCACTGCCACTAGGATCCGAGATACAGATATCCGTCACGCGGTCATTTGTGCTCACCAAGGTCTTGGGCATCACCACGGCTTGCACGGGAAAGAACGAGGGGATAGCCAGCGTCGATAGGGTGCTTCACACGGCTGGCGCCTGGTCCCGTTGAGCATAGACTTCGGCTGGGAAAGTCTACCACTATTTATGATGTGTGTGTGGTAGTTTTGTGTGGTTTGGTGCGCCTATAAGGTCACATTAAGGGTTACGGTGTGGTGAAAATAATAAAAAGTGTGGTGGAAATAACAAAACCCTAAAAAAGAATGAATATTTCCGTCCCGCGGTATCCAGCGTCCCATCCCGCCCGGGACATAGACCTATTTTTGACGGACTGCTCGACCAGGCCCAGTACGTCAACCATCAGCTGGGAGCGGGGCTCCCAAGTATCCCAGGGCGGGGGATAGCCGCGCCACCGGACGAGGTAGCTCATCCGACGTCCGTTCACATCGCGGTGGTTCAACAGCTCCTCAACCAGATAGCGCTGGACACCGCGAGAGTCCTCTAATGGAGGTGGAGGAGGAGGGAAAACGCTCTCCAAACTATCTTGGGAAAGTGTGTCTCCTAGAGCTTCTTCGATCGCGTAACGCAAGCATTACGCGGCGATCTCGAACATGAGTGGGACAGGCGTCTCCAACTGGCGGACGCTGTCTCGAAGCATCGGGCTGTGAACATTGGGTTTTGGGTGTTTGTCTTACCTCGTGGGAAAGTAACATTGGACAAGTTTTTTATGCAAGGCGGGGTGTCACAGTGCGTGTGGACGCGGTTGTACAAATGTCAAGCGACACATGAAATTGTGGCAATGTGGCGGGTAATTTTCGCATTCGGTGTTGGCAAAGGAATAAATGTTGCAAGCTTACACGCGGTTATTAAACTCGTTTTGTTGCGTGTTCACAACAAATAAAGATCGGTAGTTCTGAGTGGTACAGTCTCGGTACCACATACTTACGATAATACCGCACCTTATCGGGTAGGGATAAGGGATAAGACTTTTGTCAGAGGATCGTAATGTAGAAGTCATTCAAACAATCTTATAGGGTTTTATTACCTCAGCAAAAGACAAATAAAGATCAGTTTCCCTTTTTAAATCGTTGGACACAAGTGCCTAGTTAAGGCGCAGTGTGTTGTCCAGAGCATTAGCCTTGTCAAGGCGTTTACTCTTGTTTAACTAGTAGGTACTAGTTAGTGTGTGATTCTGTAAATCTTAATCTCTTTGTAACCGGGACCGTTAAGTTTGTACGCTTGGACAACTGTACGTCGTTGTCAGTTGGTATAACTAAAAGGCTCTGAGTCCAAGACTTCCTCTGTTGAGGAGCGCTAACTAGCTCTGCTACAATGTCTCTTCAAACTGGATAGTTATGCGACTGATAGGTTTTGCCTTCTGTATGTGACTTGTTTTCGTACCGTGCAATATCTCCCTCTTTTTGTACCTATTCAGATGTCCAGGAAGTATTCGTGACCTTCGGGTCTTTTATGTACTTAAGTTGTAGAAGATAAACTTCTCTTAGAATACGTATGCTACGCATACCTAAAGCCCATGTCTCTTTTATTCAAATACTTGTTTAGTTTCGCTTTGCTCAATCTACATCGACCCTACGTTACATTGGGCGGATAGCAGAAAAGTCAATGGCAACATGTCGCGATCGGCCTCGAGCATTCCAAACCCTCGCAGTGACGACACTTTATATCAACACTTCGTCAGCACCAGAGACCGAATAGATTGCACCAATGTTAGAATTGCTGTGACCGGTGAGTCGGGTGGAAGTTAAATGTCCCAAAACACCCACAAAAAATAGTCCTCACGTCGTTAGATATCGGTGCTGATAATTGTGAGCCCGAAGGATGAAGTTACTACTGACTGTGCGAAAGGTACGTATTGATTTTTTAGAATTAAGATTTTCTGTTTGTGTGTAAACAATGCTAGGTGTACCTTCCACGTACTAAGTGCGATGTAGCCTATGCCCTCCTCCTAGGTATATTCAAAGTCGCTCTTTGGCTAGGTCACTGTTGTGGCGTACGCACGTGATTGTGGTAGCCGCCAACCACCCGAATAGAACATGAATACAACACAGCTCGATGCAGTTCTCTGAACTTAATTGCTTATTTGAAGGCGAGATCCCGAGCTTGCTCCCCTACCTACAAAAATCAAATCAAATCCCGGTCGGAAAACTTAAATAAGCGGCATCGTCCAGTGCTTGTGTCCCTCTAAGACCATAACGCTTCACCCGTTACATCGGATCACATCGTCCCAAATCCCTCCTCTTGTCCTATATTGCCAAACCCGCTCTTCATGTCTTTTGTCGCGACACCTGCCTGAGCTAGATTTAGACACTCTAGCTGCTGTAAAGATAGCCTTACGTGAAGCAGCCAGAGTCATGGTGCTCAAAGCACAATCACATAACTTTTTGGTTGTCCATGGCGCACTATTGTGCGACATGGCAGACAGAGACGCTACTTGAAGATTGAGTTGCACTGTGAAAGGGACGATCGCATATCCAATATTGAAGGATCTTGGAGCGAGAAAGGTGTCTACGCTAAAGCAGCAACAAGTGAAATACCGAGTGGTGTGCTGCCGTCGCTTCAAGCACTCTTTAACATACAATCGACACGAAAGTCAAGATCCAAGTGTATATACGTTCAGGTACGCATTACCGTTAACGAGCTGAATAGTCGAAGCACCTGGCATCGCGAAGAGAGTCATTTTTAGCATTTAAATGTGTATCCCAGCAAGTCGAGAGCAGTCAGCTGAGGCGCTGTGAAGCATGCAGCCAGCCGGTACATATACTGCAGACGTGTCCAAGTAGTGATCGACTGAAGTTTGAGTACCGGAGCATCTTCATTTTGATTACTCTTATTTTTACGTCTAACCTTACGTCGTACTCCCCTTGACTTTTCGCATGTTTCTGGATATCCACAACATTCATTACCTCCGCCCGGTGGACCGCGTGATACACAGCGCGCAGTGTTTAGTAAGTCCCGTGTATCAAGCGCTTATTTCACATCACTTTCGTGCATCAAGGTTGTACAACAGCATGTTTCCTAGTGTTTCCAAGTAGTCATATGCTCATGAAGCAAGCATGCCTGGTACTGCCCACTATCTACGTTACTAAAGTCAATTCCCAAACGAATTTACACGCCCCTTCGTAAGACTCACTTTCATCACAACACCCTCTTGTCATTACCGATCTATTCGAGCATCAGCAAGCTGTATTTCCAATCTAGATGTGACATGCTACCAACCACCTATACCTGCGTCCGCTTACTATGCAAAATGACGCGACCACAACAGTCCTATCTTCTCCTCCCCCGTCACCTGCAGCGCATGCAGCGCACCCTCCTTCACACATCAGGCTAGAACACTTGCGTATCCCTGGTGACAGCTGGGCTTACATCGGGGGACCGGCGGCAACCACCGCAACGGGAACGGCGGCAACAACCTCCGCAACAGCCCCAGTAGGCACGTTCAGCAGACCACGACCATCGTTGATGCTCTTGAAAAAGTCGCCGAACACCAGCGAGATGATGGCCATGAGCTTCATCAAGATGTTGAGGGCCGGACCGGAAGTATCCTTCAGCGGGTCACCCACAGTGTCGCCGATGACCGCAGCCTTGTGAATAGCACTGCCTTTACCTTGCACAATGAGCTTCCCCTCCTTGTCCTCAATCGACACACAGCCCTTCTCCACAAACTTCTTCGCGTTATCCCAGGCGCCACCCGTGTTCGACTGCGAAATCGCAAGCTGCACACCCGAAGTCAAGCTACCAACAAGCAGACCTGAAACAGCGTGTACACCAAAAAACGTGCCGGCAATGATGGGCGACAGCATGACGAGAAGTCCAGGCGGGATCATCTCACGCAACGAAGCGTCGGTAGAGATCTTGATGCAGCGAGCGTGGTCCGGAGGACCGTGGCCGGGTAGACCCTCGAGCAGACCAGGGATCGTAGCAAACTGGTGTTTGACCTCCTTCACCATTTCCATAGCAGCAACGCCAACCGACTTCATCGTCATGGCCGTGAACCAGTACGGCAGCATCGCACCCATGAACAGTCCTGCGAACGTGATAGGCGACAGGATGTTGATGGACGTCTCCTCAATACGGGTCACAAAGCCACCAAACAAAGCCAACGAAACCAAAGCAGCGGACCCAATGGCGAACCCTTTGCCAATAGCCGCCGTCGTGTTACCGGCAGCGTCAAGGGCATCCGTCTTGTCGCGCACCTCAGCAGGTAGTTCAGCCATCTCGGCAATCCCACCAGCATTGTCACAAATTGGACCGTACACGTCAATAGCCAGACACGTGGCAAGCGTACCCAGAAAGCCAAGAGCAGCAAGCGCAACGCCATACATACCAGCGGTCGAAAAGCCAACGTACACAGCGAGTGAGATGATCGTAATCGGAATGATCGCCGACTTGTAGCCAAGAGCAAGGCCGTAAATAATGTTCGTCGCAGCACCTGTCTCACACGCCTGGGCCACCTCGCGGACAGGCTGGTAGCTGTGTGACGTAAAGTACTCAGTCACAAAGCCGACAATGCAGCCACCCCACAGCCCGACCGCAACGCAGTAAAAGGCACGAATTGGGGTCACCGAGTACGACCCGCCAATCGAGAACGACGACGGCAGCAGCCACATTGCTACCGGAATCACTAGCACAGTCATAAGCAGCGTCGACGCAAACAGTTGCACCTTCAAGACTGTCTCCACGTCCTTCTCCTTCTTCACTGGCCACACGTTCGTCGCAAGGAAGCTCACTATCGCCGACACAAAGATGCCCGTAGCCGTAATCACCAGTGGAAACAGCACAGCAGGCCATCCCGCTGCAATAATCTCCGGACTTTGCGTTGAAATCACCAGACACGCACACGTAGCTTCAGCCAGCGACCCAAAGAGATCCGAGCCCATACCCGCGACATCACCGACATTATCCCCGACGTTATCCGCAATGGTGGCAGGATTCCGTGGGTCATCTTCCGGGATGTTCTCAACGACTTTACCCGCCAAGTCCGCACCCACATCAGCTGCTTTCGTGTAAATGCCTCCTCCCACACGTCCAAACATGGCAATCGACGACCCGCCGAGACCATAGCCAGAAATGGCTTCAAACAGCTTCTTGTAGTCCGTGGACAAGGGGTACTGCGTCTCAAAGACCTTGATCAGGACAAACAGCACGAGCAGAGCGATCGAGCTCAGGCCAAAGCCCATGACGGCACCCGCTCGGAACGCCGTGTTGAACGACTCGCGCCATCCCCGAGCTCCTTCTTTCATGGCCGAGACCGTCGTCCGCGCGTTCGAATAGACAGCCACCATCATGCCCATGTACCCTGCAGCCATGGACGTGAGGCCTCCGACAGCAAACGCCGTGGCGTTGAGCATGCCAAAGAGCCAGTCAAACTGCTTGCCATCCTTGTTCGTGAACGACGTGAGCACGAGCACGACAGCGCCAAAGACCACGAGGAACGCGATGCACAGCGTGTACTCTGCGAGGAGAAAGGCGCGGGCGCCTTCCTGGATGGCGCAGTAGATCTCAAACAAGCGGTCGGCGGTTTGGTGGCGCGTGTCCGACGACAAGAGCGCGTAGCCATCGCCACGCCGCGTGACTTTGATCTTCGACACTTCCCAGAACAGATACGCGGCGAACAAGATGCCAAAGACACCGGCGCTGACAATGTACGCGTAGACTTCAAAGGCCCCCGTCATGCTGGCGCGGGAGAGAGAGAGAAGGCTCCGAGACACGAGAGCGACGAGAAGAGACGAGGAGAGGGTCGGTCCGCCACGAGCTGCAAAATGCGAAATGAGGTCTCGTCCGCCGTTGCAAAAGATCGAGTGGACGAGAGGCGAGGGGTAACGGCGGGCAAGCAAAGATCCGTCGACTTGCGTACTCTATGTGGATACAAACACGCTATGGAGTGGATGTTGCTCCCCCCTCCCTCCCCTAGTCTCCGGTGGATCTGATTCGATAGCGAGAGCACCCGGATCCAGTGGATTTTATGGTAAAATGGGCACTTATTCAATCACTGATTATAGGGAGACTGTCAAAATGGAGAGGTAATGATTGAAAGGGGCTGATTTGCACCAATGTCTAGCTGCGAGTAATGAGAGCGCTTGGCAGCCTGATATATCGACTTCTAGAATGTTTTTCATCGAGGACGCTGACCGCGTATTTTGCCCGACGGCAATGCTGAACGGAAGACATCGTCCCGTGAAGGAGAAGGACTTTGTACTGGAAATGGCGGTCATTGCGATTGTAATTGTTGTTTCGCAGAACAGCAACGTCCGCCGTCTCACGGAAAACAATACGGGGATGCACAGAGGCCGTGTACTGCAACTGGGACAAGTACGTAGAGCCTTCATAGCCGCGGCGCTGACGAATGTACGTCATAGCTACATTCTTTGTCGTGACTGGCAGAGTCTAGATGTCCGTAGGGCCGTAACTTGCGCGTACGGTCAGCTCAGCTCCAACACCCACTCGATATCGTTGCTACACCGCGACGGCTTGCAGACGCAATGATAGTACAGTGCACATAGTTTCAGAGCAGGTCATCCATCTCTTGTCGGGTCACTCGGCATAGAAGGAACCCCGTATCAGTCGTGTAGAATGGTAAAGGGGTCCTGTCTGTGAGTTGTGGTCGGTCCGTTTTTCACGAAAGTATCAGCAATGATAATGAAACCTCGAGGTGGATTACGGAGAAATTCAGACCGCGGACATCATACGTCTTGTAGTTTACGTGCGAGGTCGTTGTATTGATATTGAGCTTCACAGTTGCTAAGGCGAGAGCGCTGCTTGGTTCGATCGGATACTAAATAGACATGCAAAGATACACTGGTGCCCTTCGTATCAGCTTTCTGTGGTCCGCGTCAACGTTGTGTACCTCTTTTTGGAAAGCACCTGCGTCATCTGATATGTCACTGTTTCTGGCTCACGCACAGGTGTCCAAGTTAGCTTTGCCTGATTTGTACGTGCTGTGGTTCTTTTTCTCGAAGTCTGCACTAACTTTACATCCGGTCCATGAAATCAGTCGAAAAGCTTACGGTTCGAAAGCCTTCTCGTAGATTTTCATCTGCATAGAGGCAACAAATCTAAGGGTCCGTATTAGCACCTTCACGCTCACGACCGTGGGTCTATTGAGCGGCAACAGAAAATAGTTCGTAGTCTTTGAAATAGAGAGACTCTAGATAGAACTGACAAACTTTCGTCGCGTCGACAAATAAGGGGCTCAAACAAAGCGCTTCATTAAGCAGCAAGCAGCGCCAATCATCGATTGCTTTCCACGTGCTTTGCTACCGCTGGCCAAGGCTAGATATTGATGTTGGCTGCTTCGAGACACCGCGGGACTCTTCGTAACACGCGTGCAGGACGTCAGACTGATATCATCAGCCCGTGTACAACCTTCTCGTATCGAACACGTCCTACTGTTGCTGTCAACGCCTTGATCATCCATGCAAGCCAACTTGAAAATCGTCGGACGCAGATCGAATGCAGTACAGGAATCTTCTCCCTTGTTGCAAGGTGGTTTCTCCCAAAGGAACAATACCCAGCGTACTTCTTGCACGTAGGATACTTGCCACCCATGCCTTCTGTATCGCATTGACATCGTGAAGCCTGCTCCACAACCGACAACCGCCTCTCACGTCCTGATCGCCCTTTCCAACAAGAGCTATCCTTAGTTCTATGCATCACCATTATAGATATCGCCGTCGACTGCATCAAGATCCAATACCTCTCCATCTTCCTCTACATCTCCGGAGTCAATCGAACTCCTCTGTCCATCCCCGTCTAGCTCGACATGCTGGGGAAAGGTATCATCGTCGCTTTTCTCTTCCCCTGCATAAAAGTCGTCGTGGCGAGGATGATGCTTCCGCTTCGGACGCCCACGCCCCCCTTCTCTCTTCTCGCCTGGCACAGATGGATCCTTTTTAGTCTTCTTGCGATGCAAGACCTTCGGAGACTTTACGAGCAGTTTAAGCGAATCGCCCTGGATGTTGTCATCCAGGAACATTCCCACTGACTCTGCATCAAAGACGTCACCACGATACGCCTTTGCTGCGAGCCCCTTTTTCTGCGTATTCAAGTCACGCTGACGTCGGAAGAGTACCATGCGATGCTCCCCGCGCAGAAACTCTGGAAGCGTCTTTTCCAGCGACAGTGTCAAACTCGTGGAATCAATCCACACGAAACTCACTGCGGGGTGCTTGTGCATGAGCTCATGGATCCACTGCTTTTCAGGAGGTTGAAACCGTCCGCCTCGCAGCAAAAGCACACAGCTGGTTCTTGATAGACACCGCGCTTCCAATTGCGCCGAGTTTTGCACCTGTTGCATCGTCTTTTGTAATTGCGCCTCCACATGTTTTGCCAATACAGCAGCCGAGCTTAAATGAGCACGACCGACTTGTTTTGGTCTCTCCCCATTGGCTATAATGAAAACGGTGGGTGAAATAGAGGTCTTGAGGCTGTAACGCTTAAGTACCGACTTGCCCGACGCCAAGAGCTTTGCCTTGCAGTCCAAGACACCGACAAAGCTTTTGCCCGCCAGACGAGACGACACTTTGTCAAAGACTTCGGGTAAAACGTCGTTGGGACCCGAGCACAGCACGACCCACGGCTTTCCAGAGCGAAAGACACGGGCCATCAAAGCAGAGTCGGTTACTTCGAGGCGGTAGATATGGTCTTGTGACGCGAAAAAGTGCACGAACGCCGCACCAAAGAGCGCCACAACGAGCGCGGCAAGAGCCGTGAGCCAGTGACGGTGCTCATACCACATACGGTTGCGCAGGAACATCTTCATCTCTCGAGCAGCGCTTGACTGCGCTCCTTTAGCTTGTCCTCTTGCCATCGTCGATGATGGACGGGTTTGGTGGCGCCAACGATCAAGATAGAGTCGTGCAATGTCGTCGACGGTTAAGGTGTTTTTGTCGACGTACCATAAAATAGCGTCATGTCTTAGAGCGTCTGCAGCAGTCTGTATAACTTAACTTTCTGTCCAGTCGAAAAACGTTATTAAAGCTTATAAAAGTGCGCCACAGCAGCGAAACAACTCAAGATAACTTGAGAAATAGTTATTTTTCGCTATCCCGCCTACGTTTTGTAGTTCTGTGAAACGCGATATAGCTCTTTTGGCTGCATGTCACTGGCTTTGGCTTATAAGATCAATCAGGTCATTGGCGAAGATTAGCTGCATGTCATTGGCTGCAGTCGACGAAGAAGAACGATAATTTTGAAGTCGTCGACGTGGTTCCGAATGACACTCGCAAACATTATGCCATTGAGCCTAACAGAAGACCAAAAGCCAAACAAAGGCGACCATAACTATACGAGTCACGTTCGGCCGGAAAAACTTTTATCACCTGGTTATACTGACCGCTGTGAAGCTTTTTGCGTATAAGAGGAAATTATAGGGGTCTCTGGTTGGTGCAGTTATACTCACTGCTGGAGACGCTCTTACGTTATCGGGCGTTCATAAGGTGCTTTAATATGCAGCGTAAAAAAAGTAGAGTTGATCTCATGCTTTTGCCGACAATGATATTTTCTACAAAAGGATAAAGGTTGAATACAACTGAGCCTGTCTAATCCGATACTATTATATAAGAGCATTTGCTATCAGCTAAGCCGGCTTCGCAGGTCTGTCCGACGGTTTTGTTCCTTCTGAATATGGCGGGGTACACGAAATTGCCCACACTGACATTCGCGCCATAACCACATCAACATCAACGAACTGGGTCAGTATTTTCGTATCAACGCGAAGGCTTATGTAACAACGAAATCGATAGGCAGATGGCTGATAAAGAAAAACTTCTCATCGGTCATATGCAGAGCCACACAAATATGTCCAAGCTTCCTGATTGCACGAAGCAAAGGAGCAAGTCCCCATTAGCCTTCGCTAGCATCTGGTGGAGGACAATGTGTCCGCTCCCGACTAAATTTAGTATAGGTGATACGGTCAAACCCACCATCGCCGCCATCTACTTTTGACCTTGCACGATACGGAGCATGGCCCCAGCCCATGGTTGACATTCGCTGTGGCCAGTCAATCAGGAGGGGGCTCCTACTTACGGAACCCCTCATTGCTGACGAGGATTTCTCGGGTCAGCATCATTGAAGCAGCACATATGAAGTTTTCATGATAAACAGAAGTATCGCGATCCCGCAAAAGCTTCTCAGATAGCACATTGCGGGAGTTTATTCGCTCATGACGCACATTCTGGATGTTCATCAGGTCTCGGGACCGGGGCTATCATAGCAGTTTAGAGCGGGTTTACAGTTAGGCCGTATGGGTAAAGGCAGTAGTAACGTGTACGGCAAAATCTTCCAAACACGCGACAGTTTGTGGCCAAACACGCGACAGTTTGTGCTTCAACGAGAAAAAGAGAAGAACAGAAAAATGCAAGAAAACTCGACGATTCTTTGGCAGAATTAGCGCACATGGCAACTGACTGGTAAATAACGCCAAGGACATCGACAGTTGCCGATACGATCAGTGGATGCGATCTCCTGTCGGGGATATTGTGGTTGGTCTTGTGCTCAGTGTTGCAGTCGGACTGGTCTGGAGAAATTGGAAGGGCGGCGAGATGGACCGCATCAGTCGATACTACGAGTGGCAGGAGGCCCAACGGACCAAGAAGAAGATGCACAACGACGACAAGTGAATGTTGACAACAAGCCACAAGAAGCTGTGCCACCTAACGCCAGACAAATGAGCTTATCTGGTTCACGATTCTTGTAGAAGGTGGAAACTATATGGCATGTACGCACAAGACCTGCAAACTTTTGCTCGCAGAAGTTTCACAGTGATGGAACAAATCGTTTCTTAGTGTTGCCATGCACTGAGTCGTAAATTCGCCCAGAAAGAGAGCCTATAGGATAAAATGCAACGTCATGATTTAAAAAGTGCTTTTTATCGCGGTCTAGAATATGGACCTATTTTATCCAACTCGCCAAACTAAAATGGGTCAATCCTCACTCTCCATCATTGTTCATTCATGCCACGTAATCTGATCGTCGCGGTGCTTCTCGCGCTCTTGTCTCACGCCGTGACGGCGCACGATTTCTCCGCTTTTGACGAGATCACGGACCGCGAGTACGATACGAACCAGGAGCTGGAGAGCGGCGAGACGATCGTTCGCTGTCGCTTATGTGGCGCCCCCGTCGCCTACAAGAAGTACGTAATGTCTTGAGGTTTATGGTCCTTTTCGGCTGTTTTTGACCCATTTTTTTCTGCGGCTTTGTAGTGACTTTATCGATCTCCACGACACGTCCAAAGCCGTGGCCAGCCGCCACGAAGCTGTGCTGGGCAACGATGTCCAGCTCTTTACATTTGTGGATCCTAGTCGGGTGCGTACGAGGAAGGTACTTTTTGTAGTACCCATTTATGTGTACCTAAAATATGAACATGATACCTTTTTATAGGCACAGTACGAGCTTGCAGGGTTCAAAAAAGTGCAGGGAACCGAAAGCGACACTTTGTCGAAGAAGGCGACGGTCTTTGACGACTACAGTTGGCGCAAAATTCGCTGCAAGAGCTGCAAGAGACACATTGGGTAGGGTGTAGCTAGAACGTCATGTGGACTTCTTTTTTCCTCACTAACGGTTATTTTCTTCTTCTTCTTTTTGCATGTACCCTGCTGTTCAGGTGGGCGTTCTACCATGACGAGCTGCAAGAGTGCTCGAACACGCAGCTGGCGGACCCGTTCTCGATCGCATCGTTGGAGATCAAATTGGCACTTGAGAAAGAATTAAAGACGGAAGCTGTGAGAAAGGAGCTGGAAGGTCAGTGTTTGATGACTACTATTGGGTGGTGGACTTATGAGGTCTGCTACGCGCACGAGGTCCACCAATTCCATGAAGAGCTTGACGGGTCCCGTTTCAGCGACTGGAGTATGGGAGCGTTTTCGCCAGAAGCTCAGTTAACCAATACGGATTATACGGGTACGGATGTTACGCAGTTCTTCACCAATGGGCAACACTGTGATGAGAATGGGGAGCTGCGTAGCACTCGAGTGGTGTACACCTGCTGTAAGTCTCGCCCGGAGGACGCCATGGTAGAGTCAGTGGAAGAACCTGCCTTGTGCGCGTACCTGATCCGCATTTGCGTTCCGAGCTTGTGTGACAGCAAGTGGGATAAAAAACAGGGTGATTTTGGGGATGAAAAGCAGACTGTCGAATCGTGTAAGGCATCTGTTGAGGCGAAGCACGCAGAGGCCAAGTTGCCATCGTCATTCACCGCCTTGCGTTGGTCTTCGGTTATCTCGGAAGATAGCAGCGAGCTCGACTGGGCTCGGCGCACGCAGATAGGGGATTGAAGATAATGTTGGCACTGTGGAAAACGGCGTCCTGACCATGAATGACAGATTCTGTATGCCTGTGATATCGATGACCCGTTACCAGCTGATGCTCCTTTTTATCGTTCCATTGCAGGGCTGGAAGAAGTGTGCTGTGTCAAGAACTTGGGAGATACTTTCTCGACTGGTGAGTGAGACGTTTGTTGTATCAAGAAGCAAGAGCTACAGTGCCACATCCTGTTTTAGCGCCTACTCGATTATTTGTGCACGATGATTAGCGTTGTTTGTTGAGAGCACACATCGCTTGGTGCGGATATCGTGCAGTCATCGTCCAGCAATTGGGCAAGCAGAAGCATCGAGTGGTACGGAAGTTGGGCATGGGCGTGGGTAGCGTGTTGTAAGTTTTAGTCCAGAGTTTGACGAACTGCCTCGTACGTGCTACACCGTGCCCATCGCTTTTGTCTATGAAGGACGTCCGCAGGAAACGCAGAGCTGCTTGACATAGCACACTAGCTGCAACCGTCACATTGTCACTTTCACGTTCTAGTCGGCGCTATCGACAGATTAGTTCACGATTGTGATAGATAGCTGCGTAATGCACATTACGGCACTGACTTGTCCATTTGAGGTATCACCTATGCTTAACAAGGCGTCTGTCCAGCCTCTTTTTGTACCGGATTTATGCAGCCCACCAGCACGCAAATTTCCATCAGCATATGAATGCAATGACTGGCAGTGCAAAGTATAAAGTGGAGACATGCACCGTCCTAGCGCAAAATAGCTGAACTCAATTCGTGCAAGCATCAACGCAAGAATTGTTACGTAACATCGCTAGAAGGCGCATTCTGAGTATAACTGTGACTTGTAAATGACCGAATATCAGCAGAGTGTGTGCGTACGTGTTCAGCTGATGAGGATGTACTGGTAGACACAATAGTTTTGTGAGGCTGTCTACGTCATTCGTACTGTGGAAGTAAAAATGCTAGATTGTCAACACGCAGACGAGAGTGCAAACGCAAAGACTGATGATGTTGAATAGGAGTCATATTCAGGAGCGATGTCGACAACATGCTGCAGCACATTAAGATAGTGAACGGTGGAGCGGACCGGACATTATCGCAACAGGTCACCGCCAAACGATTGGGAAGAACACGTTCAGCATGAGGTGGTCTTTTATATCGATAATTCTAATCAATTGTTATTTCGCGTTGTTATTGCCGGATACAGCGCATGGAGATGCTGTGCGATCAAATTCTTCCATAGCACAAAGACTACAAAGCGTATAGCACGAATCGGTGTACCGCTTGATTTTTCAACAACAGCAACTTGTAGCAAAAGGCAGAAACGTTGTCGGTGAGAACAGCACGTACGAGCGACAAAACGCGAAGCCTGGAGAGCCCCCGACTTCGCGTTTTATGGCTCACCTCTCGGTTACACTGAGCACAACCGAAGCCGCCTCTTTTCTTGCGTCGCTCTTTCTTATGAGCTCACTTCACGTTTGTTCTTTACTCAGATGTGCGTACATCGATAACTTATCGAACAAACACTGAAGGCGCAATGCCAGGTATTTAATTTCGTCCACCGTTGTGCTTGTACAAACAAGAAATGTTACTTGTCTATTTCAGTCAGCCATACCGAGGTGATCTCGCGCTTGGCTCTACAATTACACAGTCTTCTTACTGTCGTCCTGCTTCTCCGTTGCACCGGCACAGATCATCGTTTTGAACTTTCGGACGAAGAGCCTCAGTAGCCAGAAAAGAACAAACGGGATGGAGAGCAGAGAAGCACCGACGACGACGAAGAACAGACCGAGCCACATGAAACGTTGCCAGCCTGAGACCGGGCGTGGTGCTTGGCAGTCGACGGCATCTTGCTCGGAGGAAGTTGAGCCTAAAATCGTTGACTGGAAACTGTACTGAAGCTTCACTTGGTCATCCGCTCCACGAACTTGCACCGTCGCGACTGGGTGCGGCTTGCGGTCCCAATCTATTTCGATTGAGCCCCAGTTGAGATGGCCGTAAAATGATTTCTGTGTCAAGCGGAACTCCCACGGCAGCAAAAAGTTGGCGTAAGTGAACAACAAGGCCATCACGTGCTTCACCGACGGTACATGGAATTCCATCTGCACAAGAACCAGTAAACGTGACACGAAGAGATGTCAGATGCATGATAGGTAAAAAAAGTGAGGCTGGTCGACGCGTACCCAGCTATGCGTCATTCCAGAGCTGGTGATCTCAGTGATCTTAGTCGCTCCTTCGGAGCACACAACTTGGTTGATTTCGGAGAAGTGCACGTCACCACTACAAACATTACACAACAGAAGTTATGACCACAGCAACAGTCCACACGTAATTTGTCCGCCACAAACCTTAGGAGAATGACGCCCTTCGCGTTCGAGACCAGGAGCAATTTCAGCATCCGCTCGCGTTCGCTGGGGAACCGGCCCCAGCACTCCGCAATTGGATAGCGATCACCCGGAAGAATCTGAACTCCTGACACGATGACATTGAAGGCCGCGGTCGATGTCAGGAGCTCGTTTCCAAGCCATTCCCATTGGGTTTCTCCGAGTAGAGTGCCGTTCTTCGTGCCATACGCGTCTCGATGATATCTAGGGTACACAGGGCAAATCGTCAGGCAACAGGGTCCCTCCAACCGACAACTTCTCGTGCTAGTGGCCACACGTACCGGTTGTCAACGAGAATGAACTTGACTGTCTGCTCTCCCGATCCGATCGTGTACGACGTGTAAATACCCTACCCACAGCAGTCACCACAATAACGTCACGAACACGGTACATATACCGCAATAACGACGTCATTGTTAGCACGTGCCTGTTGTCGACGACGTGGCGAGTCTTTCGGTTCACCAATAAAATCCAGAAACACCGCTTGGCTCTCCTCCCGGTACGAAAACATCTTGCCGCCATCGTTGATCCCGTAGTCGTGGTCGTCCCAGATGCCAATCACAGGCGTCCGCTTCACAAACGCGGCGTACTCGGCATTCGCCATGAGTTTGCTACACTCAAAGAAACACACACACAGAGAGAGCGAGAGAGAGAGAGAGAGAGAGGGAGAGAGAGAGAGAGGGGGGGAGAGGGAGAGACCCGTCAGTCACGGTATCAGACACCAGAGACAACAACACACACGCGCTTTCTCGACAAGCAATTACAACGTACTTGTATCGCTGCACGAGCACTTCAGGCGAAGCCTCTACAAACATGTCGCGTGGCCGAGCGGAGACAGAGCGTCGTGGCTCGCCCAGCTCCCTCATATCGGCGTAAATCTGCATGACAAACGGCAGGCAAGAGAGACGTAAATCCACGAATCTATCACGACACGACCGCCTTCCTGCTTAGGCTGCTAACGGCTCACGTTGTCGCCCATCCAGACCCAAAGCTCCGGTTCGTGCGCTGCTATTGTAGGCCACAGCGGCTGCGGAAAGCTCTGGTCGTTGCACGAGCCAAAGGCCACGCGCTGTAGCGGCTTCTCGAGGTCTTGGACGCGAGGGGAGGTCAGCACAGTCAACTCGGTACCCGTGGACGACGCTGAGCACCGTGCAAAGACAGCTACGGCCGCTGCAAGAGCAGATCCGCGAGTCTTTCTCAACATGACAATGCGGATTGAAGGTGAGAGTGAAGGTCAGAGGGGAAACGTTGCAGCGAGAGTGAAGATCAGAGGGGAAACGTCCGAGCGAGAGTGAATGTCAGCAATTGATTTATAGTCGGGCAAGAGTGAACGTCCGTGCAACGTCGTGTCAGTGCTACAAAAGGGGACTTGCGCGATCCGGCTCAAAACATACGTACGATCTTCCCTCGACATCCCGATATGGCTACATTCGAATTCCCGTCCTTCCAATGCAACACCTGGACTGACGCACAACCACACGAACCTTGGCCAGCATAAAGTTGAACCATGTTCGTGCGACAGCTTCCGCGCAAGTCACGCACGACGGCGCGACCGCCAACCAGCTTACGCCAACACCTTCAAGACCTTTTCCAGCAACACTTGAGCTTCATTGTCCTTGTCGTCTAGCAGCTTTCGCTCTGCCTTGGGCAAACGACACTCGAGACGAAACTCCTTCTGGCACTGGTCTACGTACGAGATGTTAAAGCGGAGGCCGTAGGTATTTAAATGCACCGTTGACTTTGCCAAAGTCGACTTGATGCTCATTCCTACCGGAGCTGTTTGGCGTAGTGAGACCTTTGTAGCAAAAATGTCGCCATTATCTGGCAGCGAGAGCTCCAGATGGCGCTCAATATCAGTCCAGTCGTCCTTCGACAACTTCGTGCGGGTAGAAGCCCGCATTCGGAAAGATATCTCATTATTCAGGATAACGTCGTAGCTACCACGCACGTGACGTCTCTGGTAGATGCTGTGCAGCTCCCACTGACCATTGACAAGATGGTATTTTACCTCATACGAATTTCTGTCCGCATCTGCAACTTGCATCACAATCAGTTTACGTGGCTCCACGTCCTCCTCCATCCACTCCTCCAGGTCGTCCATCAAATCAGACATGGAACGAGTCGCGCGTGTGCAGAAATTCGACCAGCGCGTTGAAAAGTCGTCGTAATTGCGAAGACGCTGCAGCTCCGGCCACGCAAGCGTCGCATTCTTGCAATGTCTTGACCTGAGTTTGAAGCACGTTTTCCCAAATGCCACCCTAATGTCCACAGGAAACTCTGACGGGTTCTCGGCTAGATACGCCATGACTTCAGCCGTATCGTCTTCACGAAACTCCTTGATCCACGATTCAGTCCGGCTCGCAGTTTCTACTGCCTGTCCGGACTGCTGCAGGCGATACGGATATTTTTCAATTTGAGCATCGCTTGAAGCGTCCTCGTCTTCCAGAAACGACCACAAGTGAGTGGGTCCATCCTTTGCTAAGATCTCAAAGACCCGATCCTTGGCTATAGCAAATGTTTCAAACAACTCCGCCAGGTCGTCTACTGCACGTTCAATGCCAAATCTCGACCCCTTCAATGTCACTTTTCGGTCTAATGCAGCCACATCGCAGCGAACGCCATAATTCTGGCGAAGCGCTTTGCAGTAGCTACCTCCTTTGCCAATGACAGCCCCAACTGGGACATAGTCGAGAATCAGTAGGTCACGAGAATTCATACTGATGCGTTCAATCCAAGCAGAGAATTGTAGAGTGAGACAACGGTACGTATTCGTTTGTGTATTGTCAAACGAGAGGAACCCAGCGATTGATGCTCGATGGATGGAATCGATCAACTGACTGCAAATCACGAACTGTCATTGGTACATCACATTTCAACCAAGTTGGCTTTTTTCGGCGAGAAGCCTGAAGCACATCAAGAACTTGGCGTGACGCATCTTGCCGAAAACACCTGCGAGCTTGGAGACGCCAATTTGATAGTGCTATTCATGTACTCTGCTGGGTAATTTACTCCACTGGCGATTACTCGTACGAGACTTTTTCAGTTTCTTTGTAGCAGCAGCGCGTGCTTACTGCGCTTGAAAGTAAAATCACTACGGATGAGTTGTGCTTGATAGCTGCATACTGACTGATTCCTTAGATGACACGTGCATGCACGAAAGCTTCGACATGCTGTTGACTCATTCAATGACAAGTGCAATCTTTGTTCGGTACTGAAGGGTGCGTCAGAGATAAAGGCCACACTGTGTTATAGACATTTCTTTTTATTCCCTCGTAGCAGGCGTACGATACCCCGATGGCGCACATGTGAGCAATACCATGTATCTCGTTGGCCAGCACCATGATCGTCAATGAAGCTACTAAAAATGCGCGGCGCAAGTGACATCCGTACACAAAGGTTGACGGGCTTTGATGTGTTTATTTGCAATTGCAACTTTTGTGCATGTTGAAGTAGCCAAGGACTCAGTTGCTACAAAAAATATTGCTCAAAGTTGTTGATAACTGGGATCACGCGTTGCTCTGATCACTTAAGTTCCACAAATGACTTCATCAGCACAACTTGATCTGGCTTGTAGCTTTTATACGTCCCCTACCACACGGAGCAACGTATCAACATTGAGACTCATCAGGTGTAGTTACACTGCGCGTTGTGTAATTCAAATTTATGTGAGATATCATATGCGATATTTGCAGAAGATACGACCAGCTCCTGCCTCTAAGGGGAAGCAGCGTCGAGATGGAATGACCTTTCACCGCATACCTACAAGCCGGGGGCATGAAGTTCAAGCTGCTGAAGATCTGGGCTATGGGAAGATAGCTGCTGGGTGGCTGACAAACTACCAACTACTTGCTTTCTATCGAGCAGTAAAACAATAGCTTCGTCGGCGGAGGTCAATAGAACAGACACGTCAAGCAAAGAACTATTTCGATCCGACCAAGTTTTGCTGGTCATCCTCTCCAACAATTAAGTATGGAGCAGAAGATACGATCTCGAGTAGCAAACAAGGAAACTTCCACGTAGCAACACTTGCGACATTTGCAAGTATCCAGCAGGCGTCTCAGGAACGAATAACGTCAAGGACGGCAAAGAATGACGAGACTGCATTCGACGAGCACACACAACAAGTTTGACGTGATCAGAATTTGCGTAAATAGTCCAATGAGTCCAAATTTGAAAACGATGTCAGGTCTCAAAACCTTTCGTACGTCTGTCACTCTAATTTTTCAGATACCAAGCAAAGTCGCTGCAGAAGCGCAGAAAAGTCACTGCATATGACTGAGCCCAGGCGACGACCTAAGGGCAACGATGTATCCGTAGTCTTGACAAGAAGATCGAATGTGAACTGCGCTGACGACAATGACGTGAGCGTCAGAACCGATGACGACAGTGACGTGGAACAAGAGGTTGCAAATTCTGAAAATAGCTCCGAGGCAGAAGAGACGAATGGACAAAAACAGGCGGAGACGAATTGTGCCAGAGGGTTAGTCAATTTTAAGGAGACTACTGATTGTGGGCAGAACAATTGCACTAACCAAGTAAGTTGATGACGTAAGTCGAGGACGACGGCCGACTTTTTTCTGGAGTGTGGACGAGGAGCATTTGTTATGTCGCGGTGTGGCAAAGTACGGTGCCGGCAAGTGGAAGAAGATATTACTGAGCGGTAAAGGTGTGTTTTCAATTCATCGAACGAATGTGGACTTAAAGGTACGATAGGGAGCTTTTGCACCAGCTTTGTCAATGTGTCTTTGTGTTGATGTGATGTGTCTGCTTCTTAGGACAAGTGGAAGAATATGCAACGAATGAACCACATCAATCGCAAGCGAACCGCCGAGGTACAAAACTTGGCGCGTCACAAGCGGTCTAGTATAGCACATGCGACAAGAGTCGCTGCCGACCAATCAAGATCTGGAGATGGCGTGGGCGAAATGTCGTCAGTGAATAGTGTTGAGCTGAGGACTGACCCAAGCACTGCTATGGCTGCGGGCGCGATGGCCAGTACTGATCAACATGCGACTAGGGTTCGCTGCACCCAGGTTGAGGCAGACATGTATCATGCTGCTGAACACGGTAGAGGTTATAATCCCGATGCGACTGGATCGTTCCAGTCACCCCGCCAAGTCGTGTTACAGTTCGTATGCAACAATAGCTTTCCTGAGGTACGTTTTCGCTACTCGCGTCCGTGATCTTTAACAAAGTCGGCACTCGTTTCTGATTATCACTGCCACTTGATGTAGATTACAAATGTCCGTGTCGACTTGGACACATGTAAGGATGTGTCTACGTTAACGAAGCTGCTACGCTCGAATATCTTGTCGGGTGCGCCACCAAACGAGGACGTCCAGATGATCGGCCTCACATCAAGACAGCTGTTTCAACATGACGAGCTTTTACTGCAATGCATGAGGATCAACAACGGCACAGACTTTTTTCTGGTGTTCGACGAAGCCGCAGCAGTGTTTGTGTAAGCAAGTGAGTGGTTGTGTAACTTTATGGCTCACTGTATTTTGTTTTAACACACTTTGCGTCATCCATAGTTTGTGTGTGTAACAAGATGAGCCATTCTCATGACCAAAATTACTAACACGAAAGTACAGCGGAAATAAAATTGGTGGGAAAAAGCTCTAGAGCTAGCTTCTCAATCTAGATAATCCACTTCGAAGAACTGAATCAGGTTGCGAAACACTATACAACAGCAGCAGTCAGTGAAGAAGAAGTGTGATGCTTTTATGTCTGAATTATCCTGGGAGTATACTAATGTAACGCGATCAGCCTTTGCTTTATAAGCATCCAGTGTTTGTTTGCTCACACGATAATATCCACCGATGATCGATTTTAAGCCAATCACGTGCGTGCATCACAATAGTGGCCTAGCCAAAGAGTGGCATTGCATGCACAGTCGTTCCTCCATATAAAAACCTCTATCGAGAACTAAATTCCTGTTTAACGGCCTCGGTGTGTAACGGGGCACCCTTTGTCTGGGTGCCACGAAACTTCACGTACACTAGTACGTGCAGAGGAAGCTAATCTACTTGAACGACTCGATCAAGTAAGGTAAAAAGAGAACTGTATTTAATATAGCTAAGCTATCAATTTAACTTTAGTCTATATCTAACTATGTTAAACTACGTCGTCGTATGACGACAACCTGCTCACCACTCATTGCGCGCGTCTAGCAACGATTGGTGGTAATCTATGGTTGATATGTCGTATATCAACTAATCTTGGAGCAGCGCAAGAATACTATCCAAAAGGGTATAATATTCCTTCAACATTATCCATCTCGGATAATATTGGTAGGATATTGTCGTGCTAGACAAAATCTCTATTGACACCGTTTGGTGTCAATATCATGTAACGGCCTACCCCTTACATCACCCCCCCCTTAACCATCAAACAACCATTGATTGAATTAGAATTGATTGGGACAGGGTGACCACCGTCGGATCACTCTGGGAAAGGGGGCACTTGTTGGTCAAATTTCATTCATTTGCCAATCCAACGCATCGTTTTAAAAATCCAAGCGAGTTGCTACTGCAGCAGCAAGAAAGGCGGCTACACGCATGCGTGCAGCCAGAGAGAGTACTTCTCACACCTGAGCAGCAGGTGATTCGTCGCCTGCTGCTGTGAACAGCCCACGTGGTGAGTCACCACGTGCGACAGGTACATCCACTGCGTCTGCAGCGGGTACCGCGAATCGTAATCCAGATGAGCCTGAAATAGAGCTCATCTATTCTGGCGAGTCGGATGATGCATCCAACTCGAAGGTAACACCTCACGCCTCCGGATTACTCGGGTGGGCACCGCAAGAGCCAGATTGACTGGTTCTGGTCAACGTGGCGGTATAATGCTCGAGATCTTTGGATCGGGCGTTTGTTCCGACGAAGCTCTCCTTACGCAAGCCCTTCTAACGATAGGACGCGTGGGGATGGTGGTGATGCACCTATACATCACCACGAGCGAAGTAACTCGAGGGATCGGGGTGTCGCTGGTGTCAGAGCTCACGCTGGCACCAATCAAGAGGCCAGGGACCGAAATGTCCTGCACCATGCTCCTCATTTGGAGTCTCCGTAGATTCCGCCATCCAGAGAGTTGGACCAGTTGGACGGTTTGACCACCGAACGGGATCGAATCCCATTGTTCGATTGCAGGAAGATTTACCCACCTGATTCCAGCATGGAAACTATCCGTGATGAGGAAGAATTATTCACCGATGCATTTTTCAAACATCGGTGGTACAATGGCAGCCGTGTGCTAGACGGTAAGGCCTTCGTGCAAGGATGGAACGCCCTCATCCATAACATCGAGTGCATTGGCCGTGAGGCCTGGCTCGGTGAACTTGATGCAGCTCGCATCAGGTTTGAGAAGTGTAACCCAGTCGGGGCGCGATACAAGTAGCACTGGCTGTCAAGAGAGACAGGGTACCCTGTCTCTCGTGGGGTGATTCGTGTCCAGAGTGCCTGGACAACTCGAACATTTCCCCTAAGAAGGCCTGCCTCCCTAATGATCCCTACTGGAGGGCGAGCATCTCTTCCGAGATGGCCGAAGGGATTGACACCTTGTAATCCCTGTACTCGCGTTCGGGAAGGTCGTTCTCCGACGGCTATTCTTCGAACGCAGCGGGCGGGTCTCGTCATATTGCTCGACGAGACCAATGACGTCAACAATCAGCTGGGAACGAGGCTTCCGGCTGTCCCACGCCGGTGGATAGCCACGCCAGCGGACGAGGTAACTCGTCCGGACGCCATTTACATCGCGGTGGTTCAAATAACGCTCCACTACATTGACCACCTCTTGATTCCACCAAAGGATGTGGTGGCGGCGGGAACACCTGATCCGTCACGAGGTCCGGATCAACTTGATGTTCAAGAGCTGAAGCGTGTATCGGATAAACTAGACGACGTCCTGACTCGTGAACGGACTCGGCGTTATGAGCTTCATGATCTTGTAAGAGATAATTACAATTCCTTAACGCACGATCGCTCGGACGATTTTGCCGCGTTTGCGTTCGCACAACTAAAGGACGAACGTTCGACTCGTTCTCTTCGTGACGAGCTGGCTGCAGCTCGCCGAGACATCGCTGAGCTGCGTGAGCAGGTCGCTCCGCTAGTCGATCAGACTGGCTCGTTGAAACGGGACCACTCGAAGGTGGTCTCGGCTCTCGACCGCGGAGGATTTCTTCACATCTCGAAACGGGCTCGCACTTATAGTACGGGCGGAGACGACCAACGTAAAACGTAGGATGCGCACGCATCTTACGGGGAAGCTTAATTGTGTATGGGTTGCCCATTCGACACAACACACGAAATGGACCGATATACTAGGGCAGTAATTTACTGCTGCCCACGTTTGTCACTGTGTGTTTTGGTAGATTAACTGTAGACAGTAAAACTAAATCTCCTTCATCAAATGAAAGAACATTTGCTCTTCCATGTTTGTCTGCGTTTCTTTTCTGTCCGTCTAGTGCATCTGCAATAGATTCTTGAAAGAAGCAGACAACCGCTTCGCGAGTCAGCAAAATTCCTCTGCTGATTCATCCTTGTCAACAGCAGTGCACTTCGTGTGCACTGCTGATAGCACATTGTCTTTACCAATGAGGGCGTCATCTTCCTCACTGTGGCAGTCAGTGGCGATGCTAAATATACCAGGATCGTCGTCATCATCTTCATCGTCGTCATCATCCTCATCGATGTCGATTGCATCGACATCGGCATTCATCACGTCGACACCATTGTCGACGGGTGATGAGCAAGAATCAGATCGGGTTTCGTTCGAGCGAGTCCAGACCCCCCTAAATTAGAGTCACATTCTAAGAAGGCGAGTAAACATGGATGTCGTAGGCCATTCACGAAGAACGGTGTATGCGTCGTCGACGCGTGCACCGAATTGTTAGCGGCGAATTCCGCCATCGGCAAAAGTTCACTCCAACTCTTGAACGAGTGGACGTACCTTCGAAGTATCTCTTCGAGGACGCGGTTGACGCGTTCCGTCCGACCATTTGTTTCAGGATGTTCAAGAGTCGGCGTCTTCAAACGTCTGCTAAGTGTACGGAACACGGATTGCCAGAACTCCGCCGTTAAGCGGGGTTTCCTATCAGACACGAGTTCACGGGGTAATTCGTGAAGTCAGAAGATAGTATCGATGAAGACACGAGCACAGTCCTGGGCTGTGATTGACTCCGGTACAACAGCAAGATGTACCGTCTTGCTGAACCGATCAACATACACAAGAATACCAGTATTCTTGTGAGCTTCTTAAGGACCACGAAGACGAAGTCCATCGATACGGACTGCCAACACTTTGCCGGAATCGGGAGAGGCTGCGAGGGTGCGCTATATGAAGGACTAGGGTTCACCCGTTGACAAACTTTGCAAGCGAGGTTGAATTTGCGCACAAACTCATACTGGCGGGGCCAGTAGAAGTCACGACTCACAGTGAGATAAGTCTTTTCTTTACCGCGATGCCCACTTGTTGGGGCATCGTGATGCTCATACGTGAGGCGCAGTCGCAAATCATCATGAGCCGGAACGACGACACGAGGTGTGTCGCCGTTGACTGCTGTACATTACATCACTCCATCACGAAACGAATCCCGTTCGGTTGGAGAGCTGTATTGAGACGACAAGCTTTTCAAATCTTGTCTGCATGAACTAGACACGCAATCCATCAATCGCAGAAGAGACTCATCTTCTGCGTATGCTTTTTGCACGTCGTCGAGAAGATTCGACGACGGAACACTAGCTGTTAGTATCACTACAGTGGGACCACCACTACTGTTGTGTTGAGCAGTCGGCTCAAAATCAGGCCGACGCGAAAGAGCATCAGCGACGACATTAAGTCGTCCTGGTTTACACTCGACGGAGAAGGTGTACTCGGCGAATAAAGACAGCCACCTCGCCATTCTTTGCGAGAGGTGTGAACTGTATACGGCCGTGCGTAATGACGCATGGTCGGTTTAATCGATGAAGGGCCTATCTCCAAAGAGATAAAACCGGAACTTAGCCAGTGCATATTTCATGGCAAGGAGATCCTTGTCATGAACCGGATAACTAAGCTCAGCCGATTGCAGCTGAAGCAATCGATAATAGATGACTAGCTCAACGCCGTCTGAGTCTTACTGCATTAACGCGCAGCCAATTGCAAAATCGCTGGCGTGACAGACTACATGAAATGGTCTATCCTGGTGTGCAATCGCCAACAAAGGCGATTGTTTCAAGCTTTATTTGATACTTTCGAAAGCGTGCTGACGCTCAGCGCTCCATGGCCACCTCTCGTTTCTTAAGCAGACGATAGAGATGTACGGTCATCTTGGCATAGTTGTGCGAGTATTTGTGCAAGTACACCACCAAGCCAAGGAACTCTCTAATTCCCTTGACATCGACTGGCACAGGTCAGTCGCTAATCGCCTTGAAATTTTCCGGATCAGGGCATACACCGTTTGTACCCACGATGCAGCCAAGAAGTGGTATTTCGTTCGCTGCAAATATACAATTCTTGAGGTTCTCGAACAACTTGTGCTCTCGCGTTAGAGTAAGGACCTTCCGGGCGTGGATTTTATGAGCCTCCACGTCCGTCTTTCCATCCGTAGCCCGGCTATGGATGAAGACATCGTCGAAGTAACTCGGTGCGAATCGCGTACTGATCGCAACAGATTTGTAACACATCTGTTAAACGTTGCGGAAGCGTTACTTATCCCCTGTGGTATCACTAGCCACTCCCAAAGCATACCACTGGGGGTGCTCACTGCTGTGTACGGGATGTTCCGTTCACGCATGAGGATCTGATATAATCTTTCCATCAAATCCATGACGAAGAGATGGTACTCTTTGCCATACCATCTATGATGATGACTTTCTTGGGATCGGCTTTTGAGCCGTTCCATTGCAGCGTCAAGTTTGTTGAACGCGTGCACTATCCGCCACCCTCTTGTGTACTTTTGCACACAGAAGGTCGGAGAGCTGTGTGGGGATGTTGATTCTCTCACATGACCAGCCGCTAATCGATCGGCAGAGAATTTGTCAATCGCTGTTACCTATTCACGAGGCAGTGGCCACTGCTTCATGACACAGTATTTCGAACCAGGTTTCAGTTCGATCTCATGCCAAATTCCTTTGTCTTTGGGCAGCTCGCATGGCACGAATTCAGGGAAAAAATCCCTGAATTCCACCAAATCCTTGTACAAGGATTTGCCTTTAAAGACTCCCAAGATTGAGACTTGTATCGCTCAATCCGGGTCTTCTCATCGAGGACAATCTCGTCCATCGATGAACTACTGAGAAGCCGTTCGTTCTCAGCAAACACTTGTGCCGACCGATTATCGGCAACGTACTCGTCCTCTGTGACGAGTACGCAGATGTGCTTGACTTTGCCACTATGCAGATCTCGCAAGAATCTTTTAGATTCTAGCGTTGGCAAATTGACCACCTCCGAATATGATTTCGAAGGCGTCACCAGATCAAGTGTATTAGCGCCAACACTTGATCCGTCATTCACCAAGACATTCACTGACTCTGTGATTTCCTGGGAAAACACATCCGCAGGTGGTTAAGGACCCACACCCTCAACATAACTCTCTCGGGAGTCATTGCTCTCAAGGACGCTGGATTTTTCTTCCGTTACGGGTACTATCACGATCACGTCCTCTTCGATCGACTTTCTTTCAGTCGAGCGGGCTTGCTCTAAGATCGACTCTCTTACAGTCGATCTTGCTTTAACGTGTTGTTTGTCCTGAACAACACTAATCCCTCTTCTCGGATGCACCATTCTTGGTGTGCATCCGTGTTTTAGTCCACTCAATCTCTTCATGTGGATGTACTACGAGTGAGTGCGATGGCCTCACTCGTAGTGCATCCACACGCTTGTGGACGCTCCAAGACGTTCATCAGATAGCCATCTGATGAACAAACGGCAGGCATCTTCACTGATTGTGGCTGCCAGATTTCCCATGGCTGGTATTTTCTAAGTAATGGAAGACCGAGGATGACATCGAATATGTCATCCAGATCCAGTACGATGAAGTCATCATCGTACTGCTTTCTTTCCAGCGTCTAGTGGATTCCCACTACACGTTTAGTCGCTGTCACGGATGCGCCTGTAGCAAGGCACACCGTCATCCTTGTTGAAGGTAAATCTAGCTCAACATAGTTGAGTCTACTATCCTCTAGCGACTGGCGTCGAATAAAACTGTCCGACGCCCCGCAGTCAACTAGGGCGCGAAGTGAATTTCCACTTTTCACTTCGATCTTCAGAGTGATGAGAAACAGCTCATGACTATGGGCAGTAAAACACAGCGACTGTGTGTAGGGAGCAATCTTCGTCAAGTGTCCCGCGAATTCTCTTGACGTTGCTGGATCAGCAGGGTGCTCCGCCCCTGCTGACCCTGTCCGTTTTTTGACGGTCCGACTTGCTGTCGCGACTTAGCGACATGGTCGGACCCACGCCTTGGACCTTTCCTTGGCCAACGGTGGTCACCACGTTCTGTCTTTAAACGTGTTGCGGTGCTTGGGACACTACACTCCTGAGCGTAGTGTCCAATCTCCTGACAGCTATGGCATCTTGCCGTTCGCTTGTGACTCAGAGAGCGAAAGTTCTCGCTCTCGATGTAACAGAGATCCATTGGTTCATGACCTCCTGTTTTTTGCCGTCTCGTCGGACAACAGTTTTGACGAGTTAGCCTGAGACTGCCTCAGGCTGATCTCTTCTTGTTCCGCATACGCTATCGCCTTTTCCAGCGTACGGAGGTCCTCTCGGAACATGTAGGTCTTCACCGGTCCATCTAAAAGGCCGTAGATGAACGCGTTAATGAGCGTGTATTCAATAACAGGATTTTCCGTTACGCTACTCGCAAGGTAACGTAGGTGTTGTGCGTAAGCGTGCACGTCACGCTTACCTTGCTCTAGCCTAAGAGTGCAGAGCGTGCTCTGAACTCGGCTCTAGGCGGCCCAAACGTCTCTTTGAGTCGAGACTTTAAGTTCTATAACGACTCAAACACTTTTGGGTCGTGAAGCTTTAGCCCTAAGACCCAAGTCTGTTCCTGTCTCGTCAAATTTGACAGGGCGAAGATGACTTGCATCTTGTCACCCTCGATGTGACGGACTGTGATGGCGTCGTCTAACTCGACGGATCATCTCAAAAGGGAATCTTCATCGGTTCCCTCATCCCTTGAGATGTCTTTCTTTAAGGTTTCGGGTCGACGCATGTGCTTCGGCCCGCCCATCGACTGATGAGAGCCTTGCTGTTGTAGCAACGCTATCTTATGTCTTTTGACGGCAAGTTCCTTTTGTAAAAACTTGTTGATAGCGGCATGTTGTTGGTCTATGCTTAAAACCTCCGACAGACCGCTTATGGAGGATTTGCCAATGAGCACACTCATGTGGCGACTACGTCCCATTCTGAGTCACTCAGAAAAGAGTAGCCTTCACGTGTGACGTAAAAGCTGTCGTCATCTACGTCAACATGTTCACGGTGGACGGACACTAAGTAGTCGTTGGACGGACTACTAAGTTCTACCATGTGAAAGAGGGGAACCCTTCGTTTTTGGTGCCACGAAACTTCACGTACACTAGTACGTGTAGAGGAAGCTGATCTACTTAAACAGCTAAGTTGAGTAAGGGTAAGAAGAGAACTGTATTTAATATAGCTAAGTTATTAATACGACTTTAGTCTTAATCTATCTATATTAAACTACGTCGTCGTATGACGACACCCTGCTCACCACTCATTGCGCGCGTCTAGCAGCGATTGGTGGTAATCTATGGTTGATATTGTTGTAAAAGAAGCGACTCGGCATGCAAACGGCAACCACAATAATGTACGTGCAGACAATTAGTAATGCGCGACATAGCGATTAGTAATGCGCGACATAGCGATTACTAATACGCGACTACATGATTAGTAATGCGCGATACAGCGATTACGATTGTGTTGTTGAAAGAATTCAGTAGGCTTAGACTAGCAAAAGAGATTGCGAATTAAGATCCTGAATACATTCACTTTGCATTTTGCTTTCTACAACCCAAGTACTTTTTCAACAGGTTATGAGCCCAAGCTCTGCTGACTCTGCCCCCGACGCCGACTTTGCCTTTAACATGGACGCTGCCACCGCCACCGATGATCGCATCGACAAGTTTGATGGTACGAACTTCCACACTTGGAAGTTCAAAATTCAGATGGTGCTGGAGGAGCGGGACCTTTGGGAAGTGACAAGAGGAGAGATCAAGCTGGAACACCTTGCCACTAAGCTGGATCATTCAACGCTCAAGCGCAAGTCACGGAAGGCACTCGCGATTATCTGTCTTGCGATGGAGGACTCGCAGCTGCCCCTGGTTCGGTCAGCAAGTGGAGCGTACGATGCATGGTCGCGGCTGGAAGGCCACTTTGAGAAGAAGAGCTTAGCCAACAAGCTCTTTTTGTGTCGCCGTTTCTTCACGGCCAAGATGGAGGAAGGCGATGATGTGCTTTTGCACATTAACAAGATAAAGACACTGGCGGAACAACTCGACGCGGTGGGTGCTCCGGTCCGCGAAGACGACCTGGTAATCACGCTTCTTGGAAGCTTAAGTGAGTCGTTTGCATTTCTCATTACTGCTTTGGAGTCAAGGGCCGACTCGCTGTCGTGGGAACTGGTGACATCCAGGCTGCTACATGAAGACATGAAGCGCAAGGAGCAAGGCAGTGACGGGGTCGCTGCAGGCCAAGCGTTCATGAAAGGTGAGAAGAAGCGTAGTGGACGGCCATTCAAGAAGACTGGCGCGTGCAACTACTGCGGTAAGACGGGTCATTGGATCGCGGAATGTACCTCGCGGATCCATGACAACGCGGACCGGCAGCGTCCGAAGCGTGCGAATGTGGCGCACAACCAAGATGAAAACTTGAACGATTTTCTGTTTGCAGCTGGATTGGAGAGAAACGACGACGACAGCGTCAAGAATCCAGCATGGCTCATAGAATCTGGTGCGACGCAGCGCATGTCATTCTCAAAGCGGTTTATGACAAACTACAAGACCATCGATCCAGTTAACGTTCATCTCGCAGACGACGGAGTCGTGCAGGCGATTGGGACCGGCAACGTAGTAATGATGATGAAGACACCAAGTGGTGCCAAGAAGGGTGTGCTTACGAATGTGTGGCACATTCCAAAGCTTTCACGCAATCTGTTCTCAGTCGGCCGATTCACCAAGGATGTCGCGACAGTGACGTTTAATACGAGCGCCTGTTATGCAAATTTCAAGAACCAGAAGTGGAAGATCGGCGAGCTTGCCGGCAAAGGTCTCTTAAAACTATGCATGACACCTGTGCAAGTCGAGAGCGCGAACATCGCAAGTGAATTTAACAAGCCTCAGATGAGCAATTCATACTTGTGGCATCTGCGTCTTGGTCACATTGGCCATCGTGGACTCGACGCGATCGTGAAGCAGAATCTCGGTGTCGGCATCGACATTACATCTGTGGGCAAGTGGGAGCTTTGCAACGGATGCGCGCTTGGAAAGTAGAGGCGAGTGAGTTTCCAGTCAACTACACGTAAACCAGCAAAGGACCTGCTTGACGTCGTGCATTCCGATGTATGTGGACCAATGCAGATTTCGACATTTTCCAACAAGCGCTATTTTGTGACGTTCATCGACGACAAGTCGCGGTTTTGTACTGTGTACCTAATTCACAGCAAGTCTGAAGTGTTAGACAAATTCATGCAGTTCACCAAGTTTTCCAAGACTCATACCGGTCGTCGCATCAAGATGCTCCGCAGTGATAACGGTGGAGAACATGTGTCCAACAAGTTCGCCGCGTTCTGTCGCAACAAAGGCATCATACAGCAATTTACGCCGCCGTACACCCCACAGCTTAACGGAGTGACGGAGAGAATGAACAGGACTCTAATCGAGAGTGCTAGATGCATGATTGAGCATGCGGGACTAAGCAAGCGCTACTGGGGCGAAGCAGTGTCAACGGCAGCGTTACTACGCAATCGATGTCCAACGCAAGCAATTGGCCATAAAAAGTCCCCGCACGAGGTATGGACGAAGACGAAGCCGTTGTTGAAAACCCTGAAAGTCTTTGGATGTCACGCATATGTGCATGTGCCGAAAGAGAAGAGGTCGAAGCTTGATGCGCTATCGACGTTGTGTCGCTTCTTGGGCTACTCAGACCACGAAAATGTGTACCGGGTTAAAGAGATAACAAGCAGTCGCATTTTAGTGAGTCGCGACGCCCAATTCATGGGAGACATGTTCGACAGCGGGAAGTACATGCAACAAAGTAGCATCGACCCTATCGAGTATCATAACACTGATGAAGGCTTCAACGACCGTGACAACGGGGTTGCCAATGAAGACATGGATGCGCATATGCCCGAATCAGCATCGATCCATGAGCGGCCACAATGGCAACAAATGCGGCGTTCAAGTCATCAACCGCAGTATATGCAGCAGCAGACAGACGAGTTTCTACCGGGGTCGAAAAGACATGTACGCACACAGTCACTAAAAGCTTTGTCAGAGCCACCGTGGAAAAACGCGATGGACGCGGGGCTAGTACAAGTGATGTGCACACATCGTTAGTGCAAGGAACTGCGTCATAATTCGAAGCCATTTCGGCGCTTCTCGCATCTATTGATGATGAAGAAGAAGAAGAACATGAAGAAGACTGTGCTAACGTCGTGGATTCAGTGGGAGAAGTGCCGATGACATTTTCATCGGCTATGGAATCCAGCGATGCAAGAAAGTGGCGAGAAGCGTGCGAATCAGAGTTTCAGTCATTGTGCAAGAACAACACGTAAAAACTCGTGCCGTTACCAAGTGATCGCAAGGCGATCAGCAGTAAGTGGGTGTGTAAGGTGAAGGAGACTGTGGATGGACTCATCGAGCGATACAAAGCGCGCCTCGTGGCAAAATAATTTTGCAAAAGTACGGTGTGTACTTCGAGGAGACGTTCGCACCAGTGGCCAAGTTCGCGTCTATCCGGATCATTGTGAGCCTCGCCGCGCAGCACATCCTCGTACTTCACCGGATGGACGTCAAAACGGCGTTTCTTAACGGTATGCTTGAAGAAGAGATCTACATGAAGCAGCCTGACGTATTCGTTGATGCCAATCATCCTCACCATGTGTGCAAGCTCAAGCGTGCGTTGTACGGACTCAAGCAATCCCCTCGTATGTGGAACCAGACTATTGATGAGTTCATGCGCAATATTGGCCTCACCAAGTGCGAGATGGATCACTGTGTCTACGCCCAGTGTGACGACAAGATCATGATGTTTGTTGTCATATACGTCGACGACCTCATCCTTGCGTGCAACAACATGGACATCCTCGCAGCCACCAAACGTGCATTGAGCGAGCGATTCAAGATGTCTGATCTCGGTGAGCTTAAGTACTGCCTCGGAAATGAAGTCGAGCGCGATGACAAGTCAGGCGATGTATCGAATAAACAGACTAAGTTCTTGCGATCGATTCTGACCAAGTTCGGTATGCAAGACTCTAAGCCTGTTAAGACACCGCAAGATCCCGGACTGAAGTTGACTAAGCGCATGTGCAAAGATGGATGCAAGCACAACTAAACCATGCAAGGAGTGCCATACCGAAGTGCCGTCGGAGCCTTAATTTACCTCATGGTAGGCACGCGTCCAGACCTCGCAGCTGCAGTGGAAGTGCTCAGCTAGTTTGCTGCTGACCCGTGTCCGACACACTGGCAAGCACTCAAGCGCGTGCTACGGTACCTGCAAGCGACTCCTACACTTGGTATTCGTTTTATTGGCGCTGGCAATGGCAAGTTGGTTGGCTATTCCGATGCCGATTGGGCTGGAGATATCGATACTAGACGAAGCACCAGCGGCTACGTATTTGTGCTTAACAACGGCTGCATCAGCTGGCGTAGCAAGAAACAGCGCAGCGTGGCACTCTCGTCTACCGAAGCAGAGTACATGGCACTGTCGGAGGCGACCCAAGAAGCGACGTGGCTCAAGACGTTCATGCGTGATCTCGGCGAAGAAGCAGGCGATAACGCTTTAACTATCTATGAAGACAATCAAGGTGCTATTGCGTTGGCCGAGAACCCAGAGTTCCATAAACGCACCAAGCACATCGACATTCGCTACCACTTCGTGCGAGAAAAGGTCGAAAAGAATCAAGTCGTGCTACAGTACTGTCCGACGCAAGACATGCTCGCTGACATCATGACCAAGGCAATCGCAGCACCACAGTTTACCATCCTCCGTACCAAACTCGGCATCACTGTCGATGTCGCTACCGAGTCGAGTGGGAGTGTTCTAAAAGAAATGACTCGGCATGCAAACGGCAACCACAATAATGTACGTGCAGACAATTAGTAATGCGCGACGTAGCGATTAGTAATGAGCGACATAGCGATTACTGATACGCGACTACACGATTAGTAATGCGCGATACAGCGATTACGATTGTGTTGTTGAAAGAATTCAGTAGGCTTAGACTAGCAAAAGAGATTGCGAATTAAGATCCTAAATACATTCACTTTGCATTTTGCTTTCTATTAACCCAAGTGCTTTTTCAACAGATATGTAGTATATGAACCAATCTTGGAGCAGCGCACGAATACTATCCAAAAGGGTAAAATTTTCCTTCAACATAATCCATCTTGGATAATATTGGTAGGATATTGTCATGCTAGACAATATCTCTATTGACACCGTTTAGTGTCAATTTCATGTAACGGCCTACCACGTTACACGGTGTCCTGCGCCAAGCTGCGTCACTTGATTGTCATGTTGACTCTACATAAGAGACATTGGAAATACAGTGTTAAAACATGGCGCTTCAACCACCAGTTTCCCCTCTATGTTGGATCTATCACAGTCTCGCATTGCCTGCCATTTTGCAATTTCTGCTTACGTTCCACCCTATACATATCAACAAAGCGAACGATTCTGACATTAAATCAAAAGCATCAGGCACCGGTGCACATTGCAAGCCATCCATGTAACGGGGCACCCTGAAGCTTGTACTGGTGACAGTACAAGCTACTTATTCTGATAACAGAATAAGGCGGTGCCTCGTAACTTCACGTACACTCGTACGTGCAGAGGAAGACGGTAAGAAGAAGCGAGTACTCGGTTAGAGTAAAAAGTAGAACTGTATTTATAATAGTTAATGTCTGCAATAAATCACTATTTATCTTCATCTAACTATGTCTAAATACAAATGTGTAAATCAGTTATCTGCTCACCACTCATTGCGTGCGTCTGTCGTGGCGCGTCTTCGTTGGTTGATATAATGGCCTATATCAACCAATTAGGAACTACTTGGAAGTGCTACAGAATATTGTCCTTATGACAATATTCTGAGAATATAACTCTTATAGTTATATTCTATTAACAATTTCTTATAAATTGTTATGTAACGATTCACCCCGTTACATCACCCCCCCCTTAACCATCAGTCACTTTAGTGACTGATTGACTAAATGGATACTCGTCTCAAATCATTTGGGACGGGGTTTGCACTTGTTGGTACGCGTCCACTTTCCAACATTTCATCGCATGGTAAACAAGCCCATGCGATGCGCGAGCAAGGCCGCCGAGAGCGCGTCTGCACGTCTCTGTGCGGACGCCGAAGCAGAAACTACAGCAACTGATGTCCCATCGGTTGCTGAATCGACTCAGCCTGTATCACCTGGTGATGCAGGCGCTGGTCATGAAGACACTCGTGTCTTCACAGAGTACGAGCTCGGTGTCTCGTACTCTCCTGATACGGATGACGGATCCGTATCGACGGCAATTGAATCCAAGCCGCCTGCCAAGCGTGGCATGGACGATGCTTTGCGTCGCAGCATCTTTGGTTCATCTGATGAGTCAGATGAACCATCGCCGAAGCGAAGGCGCTCGAGGTCGCGAGACTCGGGCGCTAATAGTGGTGTCGTTTCTCCAATGGACACCACTTCACAACGAGGTGCCAGTACTTCTGTCGGCACATCGCAGGAAGAGCGGGATCGCAATGTCTTGCGTCTCGCTCCCGAGAAGAAGGCATGGATGCCTCCTAAATCTGTCATGGATCACTTGTCGGCGACGACGAGTGATCGTTATCGAACACGATTGTTCGATTCGTCAAGGATCCATCACCTTGACCCCAGCGCGAAAGACTATCGCGCTGAACATGAGTTCTTCATCGATGCTTTCTTCAGACATCGATGGTACAGTGGGAATCACAAACGTGATGGTCCCTCACTACTTCAGGCGTGGAACGCCTACATCCATAATCTCGAGGATGTAGGTCGTGACGCTTGGAACGACAAACTTATCAAAGCTCGTGATAAGTTTGAAAAGCGAACCCCGACAGGTGCACGCTATAAGCTGCATCGTCTGTCAAGGGAGAAAGGATTACCCTGCCTCTCTTGGGGAGACTCGTGCCCATGTTGTGTGAACAACTCTGCACGAGCACCTAAGGAGGCTTACCTCCTTACCAGCCCGTGGTGGCGCGTACGAGTCTCTACTGAGATGTACGAAGGGATTGACAACCTGAAATCCCTTTACGACCGTGCCGGGAAGACTTTCTCCGGCGGTCCTTCTGCGGCACAGGATGTGTCGCGTCGTACTGCTCGACCAGACCCAGTACGTCAACCATCAATTGGGAGCGGGGCTCCCAAGAATCCCAGGACGGGGGATAGCCGCGCCACCGGACGAGGTAACTCGTCCGACGTCCGTTCACGTCGCGGTGGTTCAACAGCTGCTCAACTAGATAGCGCTGGCCACCGCGAGAGTCCTCTAATGGAGGTGGAGGAGGAGGAAAGACGCTCTCCACACGATCATGTGGATCGGTGTGTTCCCGAGAGCTTCTTTGATCGCGTAACGCAAGGGTTACGCGACGATCTCGAGCATGAGCGGAATAGGCGTCTCCAGATGGTGGACACTGCCTCGAAGCATCGAGCTGAGTTTGCCTTTGCTCAGCTTGAGAACGAGAGATCTCTGACATCTCTTCGTGACGAGCTAAGGGTAGCTCGTGGGATTGTTGATCGGTCTCGGGCTGAGATAACTGCTCTTCAGACCCCTTGTTGATGCCCACCATCGGGAGCACAAGGCTCTCTGCGAGATGCTTGAGCGCAAGGGCGTTCTTCATCGGAAGAAGCAGCGTACTGATGGTACGGCTTAAGCCGACCAACGTAAAACGTGGGATGCGTTCGCATCTTACGTGGTAACTCGATCGTGTATGCATTGCCTAGGCGGTGCAATACACGAAATGGGCCAATGTACTTGGGTAGTAGTTTACTGCTACCCAAGTTGAGTCACTACATGTTTTGGTAGATTAACCGTAGACAGTAGGACTAAGTCACCTTTATTAAATAAAAGAGTGTTTGCCCTTCCATTCTTGTCAGCGTTTTGCTTTTGCTTATCCACCGCTTCGGCGATGGAGTCTTGCACAAAACGGACTACCGTTTCACGAGCCAGTATGAACTCATCTGATGACTCGTTAGCTTCAGTGTGCTGTGAGCGCACTGCAGCGACAACAACCTTTTCTTCAGTGAGGGCTTCCGCACTCTCACTGGGATCATTGTCTTCAGTGAGGGCTTCCGCACTCTCACTGGCATCATCTTCTTCGATATCGATGTTATCGATATCGGCATCAAACGCAATGACTTCTTCGTCAGAGCGTGATGAGCGTGAACCAAATCGGTTTTTGCTCGCGCGAGTCCCTCCCCCTTAAACCAGAGTTACACTCTAGTAAGGTGGGTACACGCGGATGGCGCAAGCCATTCACGTAAAACGGTGTATGTGTCGTGGACGCATGCACCGAGTTGTTGATGGCAAACTCTATCATCGGCAAAAACTCACTCCAACTCTTAAAGGAGTGGACGTATCCTCGAAGTATCTCTTCAAGGACACGATTGGCACGTTCCGTCTGACCATCTGACTCTGGATGATCAGATGTTGACATCTTCAAGCGCGTTCCGAGTGATTTGAACACGGAACGCCAGAAATCAGCAGTGAATCGTGGATCTCTGTCTGATACGAGTTCACGGGGCAACCCATGAAGTCGGAAGATGGTGTCAATAAAGACACAAGCACAGCCACTTGCCGTGATTGTCTCTGGTACAGCCACAAGGTGTACCATTTTGCTGAATCTGTCAACAAATACGAGAATACCCGTATTCCCGCGTGCGTCTTTGGGTAACCCGAAGACGAAATCCATTGAGATGGATTCCCAGCACTCAGCCGGAACCGGTAGAGGCTGTAAAGGTGCACGCAGTGAAGGACTTGACTTCACTCGTTGGCAGACTTCGCATGCGCGAACATACTTTCGCACAAACTGATACTGGCGGGGCCAGTAAAAGTCTCGACTTACCGTGAGATATGTTTTCTCTCGGCCACGATGTCCTCCTATAGGAGCATCGTGATACTCGAACATGATCCGCAAACGCAGATCAGTATCATCTGGAATGACAACACGTGGTGTGTCACCAGAAACGGCTGTATAGTACAGTAAACCGTTACGAGTAGTGTATCGATCTGATGCAGATCGATACGCAGACGACAATCGTTTCAACGATTCTCGAGATGGTTGGGAGAGATGTGACAACAACTTCACTATCTCACCATCTTGGGCGTATGCCCGCCTCACATCATCATACAACGTTGTAGATGGAACTGAGGACGTCATAACCGCAACAGTGACTGTCTCACTGTTGGGTTTCGCGACTGTTTCAAAGTCGGGACGACGTGAGAGTGCATCAGCGACGACATTAAGTCGTCCTGGTTTGTACTCGACCGTAAAGTTGTATTCTGCAAAGAATGACAACCACCGCGCCATTCGTTGTGAAAGGTGCGGGCTGTTCACTGCCGTGCGTAAGGACGCATGGTCAGTGTAAACAACGAAGGTTCTATCTCCTAATAGATAGACTCTGAACTTCGCGAGTGCATACTTCATGGCAAGGAGTTCCTTGTCATGCACTGGATAGTTCCGCTCAGCTGGTTGCAGCTGACGCGACTGATAGCAGACGACGCGTTCAACGCCTTCAAGGTCGTACTGCATTAATGCACAGCCGATTGCGAAATCGCTGGCATCACAGACCACATGAAATGGCCTGTCCTGATCGGCTATTGCTAGGACTGGGGATTGTATCAAGCTCTGCTTGATACCCTCAAAGGAGCGTTGACATTCAGCGTTCCATAACCACCTCTCGTTCTTTTTCAACAAACGAGAGAGGTGTACAGTCATCTCGGCGTAATTGCGTGAATACTTATGCAAATACGCCGCTAGCCCAAGAAATTTTCGAAGACCTTTGACATCGACCGGCACGGGCCAGTCGGTGATCGCCTTGATCTTTTCGGGATCAGGACGTACACCGTTCTTACCAACG